CTCATATTGTCCTGGCATTTGAACTTCCGACTTCAAATTTCAATTACAAGTGGAGTAGAAAAAATATATATAATATCCAATATTACATAGTCAATAATGAATAAATAAATAAATAAATATTTCTGTTAGTACCTCAACACACCATCTAACTCAGCTACATGTTACAATGATACATGCGTATGGAAAGCACAAAGGTTATAATTGAAAACTTGCAAGAAATACCCATAAAGTACAACATAATATTCATCAAAATTATCACATAAATAATTGGCACAGGGATGAAATGTGTCAGGGGGCTCTGCTGTAAGTATCATTATAACATCAGCTGTTCCCATACTGACCTGAAATATGAAACAAGTCATACATCCATCACAAACACTAGCACAGCCTCTGGACACATACTACTGATTTATCTGTCTTATTTTTAAATGTCTGTTTACCAGATTAGTTGGAAGTGAACACACTTCTAATATTATACAAAGGCCTTATTGTGTTAAATTGAAAATGTCACAAAGACTTGTTGGATCTATGCAATATGTGAAGAAATGACCCCCAGAGCTTGGTCAATTTTGACACTAAGGGCATAATTTGAACATTTTACTGGCTGAGGCCACATTGGCGACATGAATGACCTTAACAGTCTTATGTCATTTATAGGTCAAGGTCATTTTTTTATTCTGTCAAAATATTTCATTTGTTTCAATATGAATCAAATAAGCACATAAATAAATAAATAACAAAGTTATGAGAATTTTTGCTAAATTTAATTATTTGGCCCTGATGATCAAGGTCATTTAAGGGTCAATGTCATATTTGTATAATTTAACATGTCTGTTTTGTCCCATGGGTTCTTTTGTCCAAAATTTAATGTTTTGTTAAGAAATAAGAAAGTTATGTCAATGTAGGCAAATTTCAATCATTTGACCTTGACAGTCAACAACAATTAAAGGTCAAGATCATATTAGAACAAGGAACATCGCAATGCGATGCAACCAGGTTTTCAGCAAAATATTTCACAGAAGCTTTGTCATGAAGGGGCATTTGTTTTTAATTGAACTTTTAGGAGGAATTATGGCTTTTTTAATATTCCTCAAACAAAAATGATTGAGAATTTTATGTTGTCTATTCGCCTTTTTTCCCCAAATGTTTTAGAAAGGTAAAACAGTACTTTATTTTTGCTTAATTTTTGCATTTTTGCGTCTCTTGTTCATTTTCTTCTGTCAACAATATTGGCGTGTGGTGTTTTGTGCGATATGAAGAAAAGTATGTTCACAATTTTAAAAAAATACTTGAATGATGTCTTGGAAAGAAACATGGGAATTTAGTGAGCGCCAGGGCACTTGATGACAAAGCTTCTGTGAAAGTTTGGTCAAAATCCATTGAGAAATGTAGGAGAAGTTGCGCACTGTAGAAATTGTTCTCTATATATTCTGTATAAGGAAAATATATCAAAGGGCCATAATTCGGTCAAATATTATCCAATCACAAAACCCCGACAATATGTGCCAGGCACTTGAAAACAAAGCTTCTAAGAAAGTTTGGTCAAAATCCGTTAAGAAATGTAGGAGGAGTTGAGCACAGAAGAAATTGTTCTCTATATATTCTGTATAAGGAAAAAATATACAAAGGGCCATAATTCGGTCAAATATTATCCAATCACAAAACCCCGACAATATGTGCCAGGCACTTGATAACAAAGCTTCTAAGAAAGTTTGGTCAAAATCCGTTGAGAAATGTAGGAGGAGTTGCGCACAGAAGAAATTGTTCACTATATATTCTATATAAGGAAAAAAAAACAAAGGGCCATAATTAGGTCAAATATATACCAATTGCAAAACCCTGGCAATATGTGTCAGGCCACTTGATGACAAAGCTTCTGAGAAAGTTTGGTCAAAATCCGTTGAGAAATGTAGGAGGAGTTGCGCACAGAAAACATTGTTCACTATATATTCTATATAAGGAAAAAAAACAAAGGGCCATAATTAGGTCAAATATTATCCAATCGCAAAACCCCGACAATATGCCCCAGGGCACTTGATGGCAAAGCTTCTGTGAAAGTTTGGTCAAAATCCGTTGAGAAATATAGGAGGAATTGGGCACAGAAGAAATAGTTTACGCCCGCCCGTCCGCCCGCCCGCCGACATACCTCAATCTAATAACCAGTTTTTTCCTTAGGAAAACCTGGTTAAAAATTCAACATGTAGGTTTCTGTATAAATAAGATATATATATATAAACAAGCAATTATCATAGTATTGCAAGCAATCCATAAGTCCCCTACCGGTAAGAGCCCAAGCAACATTCTGAAGGGCCATTGGCCATTCACTTATGTTCCTATTTTAAGTAAATTTGTTGAAAAAGTTCTTTAAAAGTGATCACAGGAAACAGTTTTTATGTACAGACTGACGGACTGAAGGACACTCTAAAGTTATTTTTTTAAACATCCCTGTTATCAAAATATAACATTTTTAAAATCCTATCATGATTGAAGAAGTTTGAGTAAAAATTACCAATTTCTCAAAAAAAAGTCTAAGTTCAAAATTGGCATAATTCTGGAAATAGTCTTGCTAGAGTATTGAACACTCACAAATGTTGAGGGATAATAAGAAACATTTATATGAAGTTTGAAGTAGATACATTCAGAAAAAGAAGTTATTAAAAAAAACAATGTTTTTTCATGAAAATTTTAAGTTCAAGGGAGGTAATTCTGATAAATTTTGTGCTAGAGTTGTAAACCTTGTCACATATGATGTGGTTGATGACAAGCAACTTATATTTAAAGTTTGAAGAAAATACCTTAAGAAATAAAGAACTTATAGTGAAAAAACTTAAAAACTAGAATCAGAAATCTTGAAATTCAGTCTATTTGTTGCCATAGCAACCAGAATTTTCAACATAGGAAGATAAGAAAAGGATGTGCATAATTTCCATACTGCCATCTACCCATATGTCAAATTTCAAAAAAATATTTTCAGTACTTTTTGTGTTATCACTGGATCCAGGTTATGTGTAAAATTTGCCATATTTTCAGTCTATTTGTTGCCATAGCAACCAGAATTTTCAACATAGGAAGATAAGAAAAAGACGTGCATAATCTCCATACTGCCATCTATCCATATATCAAGTTTCATAAAAATATTTGCAGTACTTTTTGCGTTATCGCGGGATCCAGGTAATGTGTAAAATTTGCCATATTTTCAGTCTATTTGTTGCCATAGCAACCAGAATTTTCCACATAGCAAGAAAAGAAAAAGACGTGCATAATCTCCATACTGCCATCTATCCATATACCAAGTTTCATTAAAATATTTTAAGTACTTTTTGCGTTATCGCGGGATCCAGTTTTGTGGACGGACGGACTGACGGACGGACAGACGGACGGACGGACAGACGGACGGAGGGTAAACCTAAAGTCCCCTCCGGTAAACCGGTAGGGGACTAATAAGAAAGTAATGATAATCGGAGCTAAAATCAATACTCTGAATAATGTCTTGTCCCAAGGATTGTTGTGCTCAAGTAACTGTATGAAGACAATCCATTTATAATTTTAGAAATCATAGCAACAAGATCTAGCCAAATTCAAAAGTTTGACTATCAAGGTCAAGATCACTGCAGAGTGAATATCAAAATCAAATAAATCTGCGTGAAGGTCTTGCCTATAGAATTGCAGTGTCCAAATATAAAGACAATCCATTCATAAATTACACAATAATGCAGCTGGGGTCTTCTCCAAACTTAATTAAGAGCTTGTTTGTTTATTCTGGTTATGCTGACACTTGTGTTTGAGGTCTTTACAGGGGATATCAAAATTACCTAAATTGTCCTCACTACAGTACCATGTGTCTGGACAGATGTATATAACTTAAATTTAATCCAGATAATGACTCGAATGTAATAATTTTTCTATTCTTATGATAATATACTGTATTCCAGCTGCACATGCTGAAATTTTAAGTGTCTACTGTTTACACTGCAAATGCTTACAGCTAGTGAAAGAGGTCAGGTATTGCACTCTTTACATCAGAATTTACAATGTTCACAGCAAGTGGTTATCATAAAACTGTTAAATTTAAGAAAGTTCAAATCAATTTCAATTCATTGATTATAAAAGATGCATGCATCTTTTGTTGATAAAAGGTGACTGATTAATTGTCAACCACCGTACAAAGAAGACAATCCAGGTTTGATGGTCCTCTAGATTTGGTTGTCCCAAACCAGAAGAGATGTCAATGTCAAAATACATCAGACAAACTTGTTCACATAGGACATATTGATATTGTTGTGAATGTTGAAAGTTAACACTACCAAATATATTCTAATACTTGTGGTTTTAGAGGAGATGTTGTTTGAAGAAATTGTTGATGATGCACAACAACAGACAGAGAGGGATCACCAAAGGTCGCCATGAGTATGTTATACTAAGGTGAGCTTAAAACAGGTGAAAGATCCAAATTCAAAGCAAATGATATTAATAAGAATTTTATTATTGGTGCTTTTTGTTTAAATCTTTTTTTTCCCATATCTGTCAAATATCTCTAAATACCAAGTACATGACTATTATACATATATATACATTTGCTTCCGAAATTATTTATGCAGTATAGATAATATAATGTTGCTGGTTTAAGCAATCTACAGTTTAAGTGGCAGGGCAACAAGGTGAAAGTACAAAAACTTTGTTGTATCATTTATTGTATAATTTTATTCTTATTTCTAAGTTTCTGTTCAGCCACTAAAAAATTGTACATTCTTTAGACCATATCTGCCTTTAAAAGACATAACAGTATATTTAATGAGCTTAAACCATACAGTCAACCTAGGCGAGGAGCAAATAGAGCCGGGGGACTAGCTACAACCTCTATTGTTTACTATAACATGAACTTATAAAACAGGGTACAGCCAGGAGTTCTGTCTTACATTAGCATGATTACATACATGTAAGGCAGGCTATTAACTACTATCACATGGTATAATGGAGATTTAATTAAAATAAAGTTTTACCAAACAAGGCCCATGAATGTGTTTGAATCAAGTGGATTTACAAATATATGACCATCTGTTCCGGGTGTGGCCTCATGTAACCATAGAAACACTGTGTCGCTTGAACCAAGACTTACCTGAATTAAATATGGCATCCTGTTATAATAACTACCTGCACAAGTCTTTGTTATATAATGTTGTCTTTTTACAAAGTTTATTTCCCCCACACATACACACCCCACCCACCCAAAAACAAAATTTGGTCCTTCAACAATTTACACTACTAGCCAGAATCTTTAAACAACTACTTAATAAAGAAGCAGGTGTAAGGAAAGCTAATATATCAGTAAGGTATACTGATATAGTATCAAATGTGTGGAATTTTCTAAACAGTCATCAGTACATACTCTAAGCACTTTTCCTGAAATCCTGCACCTTCTCATATTTTGCATTAAAACAGTATTTGTAGTGCTTAATCTTGGTAGTCTGAATTTACACTGCACACATTTTTTTCATTATGGCAACTTCAAACTGTTGATCTAGGATTCAATTTAATTCAATTCAATTGTATATTTTCACTGATTTTCTGTTTGAGACAATAAAATCCTGAATTAAATAAATTGAAAGGTTGAAAAGACAATTGCATTTCCTTCTTTAGAGACAGACAATGAATATAATAAGTCACAATAACATTACATATTCTGAACATACTAAAACGGGTTTAAAGATCACATTATTTCTAGAAGTAAGGAACCATTTTCTTATGCACTTAGAGAAAAAATGAAAATAAGAAAATTTCCATCCAAACCAAAATTTGACTCATCAACAATTTCTGGCTGGGTCAGAGAGAGGGTTGTTTTATGTTGTTGTTTTTTTTCCTTGAGATATACCAAAGAACCCATTTAATTTCAAATTATATTAATCTTCTTTCTAGCTTCAAAATTGACCTGTGTATGTCAGCAGTACAGCCCAGCCAGTCTCTACATCCAGGGAGTCTCACCAAAATCATGTGATATTTTGATACTGAATTCCTTCCTATAGACTATTCTACACACAAAGTAAGATAATTTCAACTATACAAATTTAGCATGGTGAAACAATATCAATAGTTAAATTTAACTCAATATACAAAATAAACTAATTCCTTGCAAATAACTCTTCTTTATAACACCCTAGCTATCTATAGCTGCAAAATATCTAATCAGTCTATTTAAACATTTATCATTTTAAGTAACAAGAGGGCCATGATGGCCCTAGATCGCTCACCTGACCCATCAAACTCATCCAAACAATTACCTAGACAAGCATTCTAACCAAGTCTCATGACAGGTGAGTCAAAAATATGACCACTACAGTGTTAACAAGGATTATCCATATTTGAGCAGTGTGACCTAGTTTTTTACCCAGGTGACCCATATTCAAACTTGACCTAGAAATCATCAAAACAAACTTTCAGACTAATTTCCAGGATACTTGGATCAAAACAGTAGCAACTAGAGTGTTTACAAGATTTTTCTATTTTTAGCTCCGGTGACCTAGTTTCACATGCGATTTCGAACTCATCCGAGCAATTACCTAGACAAGCATCCTGAAAATGTGACCACTAACATGTTAACAAGGTTTTTCCATATTTGGGCGGTGTGACCTAGTTTTTCATCCAAGATGACCCATGTTCGAACCTAACTTAGAAATCATCAAAACAAACTTTCAGACCAATTTACAGAATATTTGGATCACAACAGGCAAAAATGTGACCACTAGAGTGTTAACAAGATTTTTCTATTTTAAGCTCCTGTGACCTAGTTTTTCATCCGAGATGACCCATGTTCGATTTAATCCCAGCAAGACCTAGACAAGTTTCCTGACCAAGTTTGATGACAATTGAGTTAAAATTGTGACCACTAGAGTGTTAACAAGGTTTTTCTATTTTTAGCTACTGTGACCTAGTTTTTCATCTGAGATGACCCATGTTCGAACTCATCCGAGTAAGTACCTAGACAAGCATCCTGATCAAGTTTGATGACACTTGTGTCAAAAATGTGACCACAAGAGTGTTAACAAGGTTTTTTCTATTTTTAGCTCCTGTGATCTAGTTTTTCATCTGAGATGACCCATGTTCAAACTCATTCAAGCTATCACCTAGATAAGCATCCTGACCAAGTTTGATGATGACTGAGGCAAAAATGTGACCGCTAGAGTGTTAACAAGGTTTTTCTATTTTTAGCTCCGGTGACCTACTTTTTCATCCGAGATGACCCATGTGTGGACTCATCCGAGCTATCACCTAGACAAGCATCCTGACCAAGTTTGATGATGATTGAGGCAAAAATGTGACCGCTAGAGTGTTAATAAGGTTTTTCTATTTTTAGCTCTTGTGACCTAGTTTTTCATCCAGGATGACCCATGTTCGAACTCATCCAAGCTATCACCTAGACAAGCATCTTGACCAAGTTTGATGATGATTGATGCAAAAATGTGACTGCTAGAGTGTTAACAAGGTTTTCCTATTTTTAGCTCCGGTGACGTACTATTTCATCTGAGATGACCCATGTTCGAACTCATCCGAGCTATCACCTAGACAAGCATCCTGACCAAGTTTGATGATGATTGAGACAAAAATGTGACCGCTAGAGTGTTAACAAGGTTTTTCTATTTTTAGCTCCGGTGACCTTCTTTTTCATCCGAGATGAGCCATGTTCAAACTCATCCGAGCTATCACCTAGACAAGCATCCTGACCAAGTTTGATGATGATTGAGGCAAAAATGTGACCGCTAGAGTGTTAATAAGGTTTTTCTATTTTTAGCTCTTGTGACCTAGTTTTTCATCCGTGATGACCCATGTTCGAACTCATCCGTGCTATCAACTAGATAAGCATCCTGACCAAGTTTGATGATGATTGAGGCAAAAATGTGACCGCTAGAGTGTTAACAAGGTTTTTCTATTTTTAGCTCCGGTGACCTAGTTTTTCATCCGAGATGACCCATGTTCGAACTCATCTGAGCTATCACCTAGACAAGCATCCTGACCAAGTTTGATGATGATTGAGGCAAAAATGTGACCTCTAGAGTGTTAACAAGGTTTTTCTATTTTTAGCTCTTGTGACCTAGATTTTCATCCGAGATGACCCATGTTCGAACTCATCCGAGCTATCAACTAGATAAGCATCCTGACCAAGTTTGATGATGATTGAGGCAAAAATGCGACCGCTAGAGTGTTAACAACTAAATGTGAATGGACGACGGACAATCATCGATCCTAAAAGCTCACCCTGAGCATGCTCAGGTGAGCTAAAAACTTACCATCACATCACCCTTTTTAGGAGCTAGTCCCGCCAGGGAACACATATTATCACCTGTAAATGCCACAACTTTACATGATGGTTGGAACCCATATTTTTTACACATATAGGAGGACACAGAACCCTAAAATGTCAAAGAAATAATTTATGCTAAAAATTTGTTCCTCAATTATCACAGAATATTCACAGCATTTTTTAAAAGCTTTACCAGAAATTTATCTAAAAAGATGAATTTTTTATGAACTTACAGATGATCTACTTTGGTTAACAAGAATATAAACTTACTGTATGATTTTCCAGAGATTTTTGCACAATTTTTACCTACTCATATAAATAAATCTAGCAGCAAATAAATGTCAAGTATTATTTACACATATTTCAGGGGCAGGAACTAATTTAGGATTTTGATGTTCAAAACCTCGTTTTTCTTATTTAAAAATATGTAAGGTTTGCTAAATTCCAACATGTATTTCAACATGTAGGCCTATTTCATATTTCTGATATAATATTTCGAGTCTAAATTTTTGTGTGTCCAAATACTGTGTTATTTTTATAAACAAACACAAAGATATCTGACAACATAAAAAAATTTAAGAAGAAAATTTACAACTGTGATTTTAAGTGTAAACTGTGTAACCTGAACATTAAACATTAAATTATCAGGAATCCCTCCAAGATAGTTCATACTATTGGAAATATTTTGCCACAAAACTATCTTTATCTTTTCGATATCTAAAATAGGCATTTCGCTTTGTAATACATTGCCTATATAGCGATAGCAGTTTATGATACACGAATGGAAACCCTATCATAATGGATGAAACTTAAAACCTAACCACTAGAAATGTGTATACTTACAACAACAGTTTTTGAGGATACAGGTTCTCCTAATTTGTCTGCTAAACCAGGACCACATGCCTGTAACATAAACATTCTATATATTACCTACTGAAACTAAATGTTTATGTTCAAACTCAATTTTCCTATAAAGGCTTAACAATTAAATACAATCTCTGGAATATGAGTATTGTAAGACTCTATATGAACCAATAGTTCTTATCTTATGCCATATTTATCAAATTTTGAATATGTGAAATGTAACATTTAATTTCACTGACAAATAAGTCTTTTCCTTAAAAGCTTTGGTTATTTTTTTTTAATCAATTTCAAATTAAAACAATAACATGTGTTTGCTTAGCTTAATCAATTTGCCAAAAAGGTATAACCATTCACTCATTTACGGTGGGGAAGATTGCGTCTACATTTATATAACTTGACAAAGTTATTACTTTTTTCTTGTCAGAAAAAGTTGTAAACTGGCATGCAATTGCTTTTTGATGAGGATAAAAAAATATTCAACTTGCTAATAAAGGTCAATCAAAATATAACAAACATGGCAATTACCATGAAACAATGTTTTCAACAAGTCCATGAAGTCATTGCAAGTGGGGGCTATACTCTATATGCTTTACTGGTATGACCTCAATACCAAAAGGGGTCATCTACTGGCTATGGGCAAAGTCTATTGCAAATTACATAAACCCTAGCTTACTCCATTTCACATTATCAAACAAAAACAAGGATAACAGCATGTATAGACAGACCAATAAAAACAACAACAACAACAACAAGAGAAATATTACCTGTAAACACTTTGCTGACCAGACTTTATTCCTGATGTCCAGGATGTTCATACCTGAACCATCACCATAATCTATAGGTGCGTAATCTCCAATAAATAATGAGGCAGCCATACTACTAACCAATGAAATCCTCTGAAATATCACGATAAACTATTGCTTATACATATATAGAGTACTAGAATTACTGTAAGACTAGATTCTTGCTAAAATTGATCATGTCTTTGTAAGAGTCTGAAGGAGTAAAGAAGGGGGAAAAAAGCTGATGCAACATGCAGAGTGTGACGTAAAACTTAGATACTTTAAATTGCCCTGTAAAAATGATTTAATTTATAAATTAATAACTGTTAAGCTAAACTTTCTTTTTTTTTACCTCCAAAAGGTTTTATGGTAAAGATTAAAATATTGTCATTACATTTCCATCCATAGATTTTGCATATTATCATTAAATATGGTGAAAGAGAAATCTTTTGATCATGACTATATAAAGAAATCATAAATTAAGTTTTACCTCTGTATTGTCATACGCCTCTTTGTTTGTCTGATATATTTTCATAATCTGGGTACCAGTATATCTTTCAAAACCACGGGAACCAGTAAGTCGAGCAAGCTCCTAGATAACATGTAGTAAAGGAAAGGACTAATTTAAAACTAAATTTAAATGAGCCGCGTCATGACAAAACCAACATAATGGGTTTGCCACCAGCATGGATCCAGACCAGCCTGCGCATCCGCGCAGTCTGAACAGGATCCATGCTGTTCGCTATCAGTTTCTCTACTTGTTAATATTATGGTTTGCAAGCGAACAGCATGGATCCTGATCAGATTGTGCGGATGCGCAGGCTGGTCTGGATCCATGCTGGTTGCAAACCCATTATGTTGGTTTTGTCATGACGCGGCTCATATACTGTTAGAAAACAGCATCAAAAACATCAGCTGGTTTTTGTGATCAATTGATCATCATACTTCTTGGTCAAAAATGAAGATCCATTAGCAACCTTCCCAATTTTTTATTTGGGTTTTTTTATTTTGGGCCCCCAAAACCCAATTTAAAAAGGTTATAATGGTCATTTTCCCAGTTTAAAACCAGTGGAGGAACCCCTTCAATTTGCCTTTTTCCGGGCATTATTTCAGGAAAAAAACTAGCCCCTAAAGAAAAGAACCCCCTGATTAAATGTTCTGTCAGCTAGTTGGACTTCCTCTTATAAAAGAATCCAAAGTCCTGGAAAGGTTTTAGGACCCCTAAGACAAAAATTCTGTGAAGAATAAATAAATTTCCCCTTTTAGTGGGAAAGGGACAGGGCCCTTGGGCAAAGTAACAAATATTTTTATTAAAAAATGCAGAAAACCATTTTTTCTAATGCTAACCCAAAATTCAATTACATTTTGTGAAATTTTGTAAAAAAAAACAATATCTTTTTTATACAAAATGAAAAAGGGACTAAAATTTTCAAACCCAGTATACTCTGTTAATTTTTAAAATTTTTTAAAAAACTATTAAAAAATAAAAAAGGGTAAATGAAGTAAATGAAAAAAATATCAGGTTTGAAGCAACTAAAATAAGTTTTCCTTAAATTGAAAAAATATTTGTTTTGGAATGTTCAAACCATGACCCCCCACGCATTTTGAAGTTGAATTTTACCCCCATTTGCTGGCACCTTGCCAAAATTTTTGGGGAAATTTTTCCCAAAACTGAAACCTTGCCCTTTGAATTATGCGGGTTAAGTCACTTCTTTGCCCAAAAATTTTAAAAACCAGTTCAAAATTTCTTTATATATATTTCTTATAAGAAGTATAGTCATTATTTCATTTCAGGAAAAAACTAAAAATGTGTCGTCATGCCACTGATGCCCCGCATGCAGCTAAAATTTCAGATGTTATAATATTAAGTTCCAAATTTGTTTGCACAAACTATTTTTTTCATTTTAAGTTCAAAGCCCTTAAACCTATTCCATGTTAACACAAACCATTTTTAATTTTTTATAAAAGTTCAAGGCACTGACAATATTCAGTGTTAACATTTTGTAAATTGCATATTGCATATTTCTAGCCAAAATAATGACTACATACATTTCCACAAAAGTATGAGTGCTGAAAACTGAAAATTCAAAATTTTTCCAACATTCAAGAGAGATTAAATTTGTCCAAAATCATTGAACCATGACCAAATTCAAACTTGACCTGCTTATTCCTAGGATTGTATCTATATGTAAATTTGAGTTGAATGATGTACAACCATTTGGGGAGATAAATTTGAACGGAAACTTAAAAATTTTCTGATTTTTTTTCAAAGTTATCAAGAGGGATAAACTCTGGGTCAGCTATTCATCAAACCATGACCAAATTAATCCTGACAAAGTGTTTTCTTATGACATATCCATATGTTAACATTTAGTTAAATATGTTACAACTGTTTAAGGAGATTATAAACGGAACTGAAAATTTCTTTTTTTTTTTTCATATTCTGAAGGTGCATTATACTGCCAGAAATCATCAAACCATGAACCAAATTCGAACTTGACCTGCGCATTCTTTGACCGTATCCGTAAGTCATATAAGAGTTGGAATGTGTAAATACAGTTGGGGAGATAATGAACAGAAAAAATGAAAATTTCATATTATTTTCTTAAGTGAAATGGGCATAACTCTGCCAAAAAATCATCGAACATTGACCAAATTCCCCGCTTGGCCTGTGTATTCCTTTGGACCTATCCATATGTCCCAATTTTGAGTTGAATGTGTAATACGGTTTGGGAAGATAATTAACAGAAACTGAAAAATTTCATATTATTTTGCAAAAGTGAAAGGGGGCATAACCTCTGCCAAAAATCATCGAACCATGACCAAATTGGAACTTGACCTGCGCATTCCTCTGACATATTCATATGTTAAATTTGAGTTGAATGTGTAAATACACTGTTGGGGAGAAATAAATGAAAACCGAAACATTTTTCATATTATTTTTAAAGTTGAAAGGACAATAAACTCTGCCAAAAATCAATCTAACCATGACTAAATTCCCCCAACTTGACCCTGGGCATTCCCTTTGACGATCCATACCGTTGGGGAAAGATAATGAATGGGAACTGAAAATTTTCAAACATTATTTTTTGTGAAGGGGCATACTCTGCCAAAAAGTCATTCTAACCATCGACTAAATTCGAACTTGACCTGCGCCATTCCTTTTTGACATATCCATATGTCAAATTTGAGTTGAATGTGTACAGGGCTGTTGAGGAGATTAAGGAACAGAAACTTGAAATTTCATCAAGGGGCATAACTCTTGGGACAAAAATCAATCGGACCATGCACCAAAATTTCGAACTTGACCTGTATTTCTCATGATATATTCCATATGTCAAATTTTTGAGTTTGAAATGTGTGCAAACCGTTACTAAGATAATGACGGGAAACTTTTGATTGGATGATGGAAGGGCAGAACAGGGGGTAACGACTATGTGGTGATATAGCCCACCATTTTAAACGGCGGGAAAGCATAAGAAAAAACACCTGAAATAGAGTATACCATTTAATACGGGTATAGTAAACTGAGGGTTTGTTCATGTAAAAGTTGTTTCAATAATTGATATAGGACTGCCATTCCATTTCCATTTGGTGGCGTGGCTGAGTGGTTTACACGTCAGACTAGTAATCTATGGATTGCTGACCGCGTGGGTTCAAACCCTGTAAGGGGCAAGCCGTTGATTCCTTGAGCAAGAAACTTCGCATTCATTGCTTAGTACTGGTTGGTTCCAGGAACTGATTCAAGAGTGTCTCAATAAGCTTAAAGCTTCCAACTCAATCAAACTAAAATAAATTTATATAAACTAATTTCCATTTATTTAGGATACCAAAGGCATGAGTGAAGTAACAAGCAAATAACTTGAGTGTCTTATCAGAAACCAAGTTGTAAAAAAAGTTGCAAGTAAAAATTTTACTGATGTGTTACGTCTCCCTTAGTAGTAGTCTAAACATTTGAGTGATAACTGTGCATCCTGCCAGGTAAATGAGAGACTCAGTGCAAAATAAAAGTAAATGGTCAAACAAAATTTAAAATTTGAATCCCTTTAAAGATTGTTCATAAAATTAAACTTGTCAGGCTGCTTTTTCCCCAAAATTGTTTTAGCCCCTTTTTTCCCAATAAAACCCCGGGCCCATTTTGTTTGAAAATTCAAATATTAATGTGTTTGTCTTATAAAGCCAAATAAAATACCTGATTGAAATCAATTTTTCTAACTAACTTCTCCACCATTAGAGTTGGTAAATTTTTTTATATGTTTTAGTCAAGAAAATAAATTTTAATTTTATTTTCAGGATCTTTATTTTCAGAATTTTCTTCCCAATTAACAGGAAAGTTAGCCCAAAACAGTGGTCTTTTTGGCTATGTGAGTTTTGAACCTTCTATGTTTTTTTAACGATAATTTACCCATTGGTTGCAACATTTACATATTTGACAAAATCGTTTTTATTTGCAACTTTTAAAAAACGCGAACTTGTTAATGTTCAATTAATTAGTTTTCAAGAGTGACATTTGTATGTTGCCAAAAAAATCTGCTTAGGAATCTAAGATTAATTGTATATGAACATTGGACCTCTGACAAATGAATAGAGGTGACACTTAGTTTATAAATAGTAGAAAACAGTTTTTAGTAAAAGCTAAAATATCTTCTGCCTACAGTGCAAGTATGGTTATTAATTTATTTATTTGAGATTAAGCAAAAATGTATGAAAAATGTGATTTGTCTTATAGTCCTCCTTAGTAGTACATGTATAAGGTTATTTTGTTTTTAACAGTTAATCATTAGTCGGGCACAGCATAGGGTGAATTCAATCAGCAGTACAAATATAATTAAAAATTTGTATTCACAGCTAATTATAGATAGAGATATTAATAGACATGGGTTTTTGGGAAACCGATGCCGAAGTTTCTTCTAATGAAAAATTGCACAAATTGCTTTTTTCGTAAATATAATTATGGTTTCCATCAAGTGAATCATTTTTAAATGCCTTAGACGAAATTGATGTTTCTTTGTTTCTTTTTTGTACATAATTTATAAACAGGTCACTTTAAGTTTATGATTTCATGGAACAATGGGCTGACTAAAATACCTGGCCATCCCCGGAAATACCGGCAACTTTAGAGAAATCAAATCCATCATTCATCATTTTGTCTAACAGCATGTCCAGAGCCTGAAATTACAACAAATGTCTTTTTTCAAACAAAAACATATGCTTTGAATTTGATTCTTAAAAGAACGTGGTCTGTATTGGAAAATTATATTGTGTAGTATAAGATGTACTCTTCACTATATATACCATTTACTTAATAATTCAAGCTCTTAAATACTAATCATAATAGTATTAACACAACATCTTTGATAATCTAGCATATAATTTGTTACCTTGACCCACATTGCAGCAGGGGCTGTAACTGTGCCCTTTTTTAAATAAATAAAACCAAAAAGCTCCACCCACTGTCCAATTAAAGGGAAAATATGAAAAAGATTTGAAAAGAAATCATTTTCGGGTTTAAATACATATTTTAAGCCCGGGGGGTGATTGTAAATTAGGGGTTATACAAATTAGTTGGGTTAAAGGGGGAACGCGGATAAATGTTGTTATCCCCTTAATGGGGTTTGTCAATAAAAAATGACTCTTATTTTCCATTTTTCGGCCCTTTATTTTTGGTATGTGTTTAAATAAAAATTTTAAAAATTCGTGAAATTTCTTACTAAATTTATCGCACCTTTGAATAAAATTAAATATTATTCTCGCCGGGCTCGCATGTTAATTTTATTCAACTCGTGCCATAAATTCAGTTTTGAACTTACACTCATGCAATATCCTCTATCTAGTTAACACCGATTGTAAAAAGTCATCCTAGAAAAAAAGACACTTGTAATTAAGTAATTATTACTGTCTATCAAGTTGGTGAGAAAAATTCAAATAAATTCAAATACATCTACATGTTATCCTTCTAGTGACAAAGCGAAGTCTGTCAGTAGATTATAGTCTTTTTCATTTTACTGCTTATGATTTAAATGAACAAATACTAAACTATAAAGAAAGACTTATTTTCAATTTAATCTCACCCAAATTCTGGTAGATCTGTTTCAAACTTGATATGCTCTTCATACACCACCTTCAAGTTGTCATCTACAGCAATCAGCTTAATCTGTTATAATAAAACAATAGGTGTAAACTTGATTATTAATTGACATTCAGATCCTGAACAATTCTCTCACTGAACAAATCCTCACTGATTTTTTGGACTGATTGTCTGTTACTCATTTGCAATCCCTGGGACTTCTGTAAATTTCTAACAAGGAGAATTCTATTCCTATTATTTTTCTCACTTGAGACAGTTTCCCATTTATTGCATTTATTGACAAGGCAGACAATGCTCCTCTTACATATTGTAAGAAAATTTTCTCTAAAATTAGTTTTTGGCATCTAGATCTAATACATAAAGTTAAAAAAAAAATCTAAAACTGAAAGTAACTGAATGATAAGAAACATAGTTTGAAACATTCAAAAATATTTGGAAAATTGTGATTTTTTTATTTTATTTTGCAGACATTTTTCATGTCAGACAATGAAAATATAAACATTTAATTAAAGTGATTGAATTAGAAATAAATGTTTGTTATTCTGTGAATATTGCAAAACTAAAAAACAGATGGAGAAATTATCACAATCAATTTGATAGAACCAATTTAGAAGAGGTGAAGTGTTCAAGAACCATAACTCTTTTGCATCATTTTGGAGTTCATGATTGCAGGGTTGTCCATTGTAATATTTCATGATTTAGTTGGAACAGGGTATTATCTGAAGATGGAATAATTATTAAACCTGGAATACACTTAACAAGAGCTGTCGGTAGGACAGCAAAGCTTGACTATTCTTAGTGCTTGATTGTAAAAAAAAATGCTTGATACAGTTACCTCCTCCTGTTTACAGGTTGGGGTAATGATGGTGAACAAGTGTGCAAAGTTTCAAAGACATATGTCAATGGACTTTGAAAATATTTGAGGTATTACAAAAACTTTAACGTAAATTCTAAGTCCAAAAAGGGGCATAATTCTGTCAAAATGATTGATACAGTTACCTCCTCCTGTTTACGAGTTGGGGTAATGATGGTGAACAAGTGTGCAAAGTTTAAAAGCCATAGGTCAATGGACTTTGAAAGTATTTGAACTATTACAAAAACTTTAACGTAAATTCTAAGTCGAAAAAGGGGCATAATTATGTCAAAATGCTTGATACAGTTACCTCCTCCTGTATACAGGTTGGGGTAATGATGGTGAACAAGTGTGCAAAGTTTCCAAGCCATATGTCAATGGACTTTGAAAATATTTGAACTATTACAAAAACTTTAACGTAAATTCTAAGTCGAAAAAGGGGCATAATTCTGTCAAAATGCTTGATACAGTTACCTTTTCCTGTTTACAGATTGGGGTAATGATGGTGAACAAGTGTGCAAAGTTTCAAAGCCATAATGTCAATGGACTTTGAAAATATTTAAACTATTACAAAAACTTTAACATAAGTGGTTACGCCGACGCCGACGCTCGGGTGACTACAATAGCTCTACTTATTCTTATCGAATAGTCGAGCTAAAAAGCATGATGCATCAACTAACCCCCCTTTAGATGAACTAACACCCCATAGTTGATGCCAGGCATCAACTAACCCCATATTAGATGAACTAATCCCCCTATTTAAAGTTGATGTGCCGCAACAACTAAACCCCCCCCCCCCTAGATGAACTAAATCTTAGCGAATGATTTTTAAGTGTATTCCAGGTTTAATAATTATTCCATCTTCAGATAATACCCTGTTTTGGGGTTTTTTCAGGCCAAAGGCATGTTTGTTCTCATTTTGACCTGCCCGTAAAATTAAGAGGGAAGAACTGAATATAAGAAGAGTTTTCATTGGTCATTTTAAGACAACAAAATGAAATCTGGGAATCTCATTGGCCATTCTAAAATAAAATGTAAAGGATAGTGCTAAACTAAAATGTAAAAGGATAGTTCTTGCCAATATGAAATAAAGTGTAAAGACTAGTTCTAAAATAACAAGAGCTGTCTGTAGGACAGCATGCTCGACTATTCTAAGTGCTTGATAGTAAAGGACCCTTGATAATGTTAAATTTTTTAAGTTCACAAAAGGGCTAATTTTTTTTTTTATAAATTCATGTTATAGGCCTTAGAGAGAGTCTAATTATACAGTATTGGCTTGACTATTCGGAAGGTAATGTCACAAGGGTGTTTTATTGAGTATAATAATACTAATTACCTATGAATACATAAATTTGACAGAAAAGGTACAAAGGCTTGTTATTTAGATGTTTTATCAAGTAAATCACTGATTTATTATTATGAATGCATAAAAGTGTCCAAAAAAAGGCACAAACCCTTCAGTAGTTATTGAGATAACAGCTTACAAACAAAACCTACCATGAATTTCTAAGTTGAAAAAGGGGAGAAAAATCAGCCTAAATGCAAGATAGAATTATGGATCTTTGTCAGTGACCTACAATTATGACCCTAAATGCATATGTGAAGTTTTAAATAAATATCTTTAATAGTTATTGAGATATGTAAAACTTGCATGTAAACATTAACCAAGAGACTAAATAGAAAAGGGGATATGAATTAGCCTTAATGCAAGATAGAGTTATGGAACTTGGTCAGTGACAAACAATTACGACCCTCAAATTATGACCCTAAGTGCATGTGTTAAGTTTCAAGTAAATATCTTTAAAGACCTTTAACTTTTAACCAAAATTTCTAAGTTTCAAAGGGGCAAATAATTCTGCAAATATTGCAGGCAGAGTTATGCAATTTTGCAAACTGATGTACATTGTTACTATTAAAAAAGTATTTTAAATTTCAATTGAATATCTCAAGCTATAATTGAGATATTTGACTTTACAAAAAAACTTTAAGCAAAATTTCTAAGTTAAAAAGGGGCATAATTCTGTCAATATTGTAGGCAGAGTTATCCAACTTGTCAATCTGATGTACCTTGTTACTATAAATAAGTATTGTAAGTTTCAATTGAATATCTCAAGCAATAATTGAGATATTTGACTTTACAAAAAACTTTAACCAAAATTTCTAAGTTAAAAAGGGGCATAATTCTGTCAATATTGTAGGCAGAGTTATCCATCTTGTCAATCTGATGTACCTTGTTACTTTAAATAAGTATTGTAAGTTTCAATTGAATATCTCAAGCAATAATTGAGATTTTTGACTTTACAAAAAACTTTAACCAAAATTTCTAAGTTAAAAAGGGGCATAATTCTGTCAATATTGTAGGCAGAGTTATCCAACTTGTCAATCTGATGTACCTTGTTACTATAAATAAGTATTGTAAGTTTCAATTGAATATCTCAAGTAATAATTGAGATATTTGACTTTACAAAAAACTTTAACCAACGCAGACGCCGACGCGGACGCTGACGCCGACGCCGGGGCGACTACAATAGCTCTCATATTCTTCGAATAGTCGAGCTAAAAAGCACAGAACAGTTCTTGAAATTTCAAGTTAAATTGCACAAGTATTTAAGTTCTGTTTGCATTCAGATCTCATTACATTTTCTAGTGAAAATTTTATTTTACGTAAGAACTAACTGAGTTTATTTTACACAAGATTTTGGATTTAAATTTTGCTCAAAATAATGAAAATAATATCAGAACTTATCAGGTACCCTTAATTAATATGATGTCCAGTAAGTGTCTAATATATTTTATGATTATTTAAGTGTTCAATTGATATAATGTTTATATATTTTTGCATATTTATCAAGTATTTATAAAAAATAATTGCTTTACCAACTGCATAGATGTTGGTACACTTTACAAATTGAGTTCACTTACCAAAAAATGACAGGTTTGTTTAGAAACACATACATCTTAAAGTGTTCCATTTTTTAAAAATAAATAACCCTAAAAGAAATTGTTACAATATTGTTATGCAAGCTATGCTAACATTTCTATATGATTTTGCATGGAAAACTATAGAACTCACTTAATTAACATATGCAAGTTTAGTTAATCAGTTTTACTTTGGCTGAGTATCTTTTTTAAAGATACTTAATTCTTGTTTTATACATGTATATCATTTAATTTGAAACTTATTAATTAAAATTGTTTGTTGATTTGGAACTTATTAATAGTTTAATAATCAAACTAATAATATGTTCCAAATTGAATGATTTATCCAATTTTATTTTACAATTATAATTTATAATTCTTAGCTTCCAATCACAATATCAGATTATATGAACCAAATTCTGCGGATGTTTCTAAATACAAAACTTTAAATTGTCATGTTAAAGTGATAATTGGAGCAGACGGTAACTTGCACTTTGCATACATGTACAATGCATCATTTTCAATTCTGCTATTTACTTATAAATTGACTGAAATTATTTTGAGATGTTCCCCACTGTAACTGTAAGCGTAATTTTGAGAGCCTCCTCACTGATAAAATACCTGCAGTGCACACTTAATTGTAAGTTGTCATTCACGAATTACATTTGTGCGATGTATATCACCTTAGAAATGTCTTAATGAGCGTGAACCTATATCGCAAACTTCTTAAATTAGCGAGGTTTACCTGCTGAGTGCTGAAGTCAAGACCAAGATAGTACTTCTCGCTCTCCATCTTTGATTGCGGTTGATCTACGGTAATATCAAAATTACACCGAATGAATCAATATCAATAAGCGCTTTACTAAGATTGTGCTTACTACTACCAGACCGGTAAATTATTATGTTGAATTATGTTGTACTAATCCATTTAATGCAAACGAATTAGTTTTTTATATGTAGATAAAGACTATTTAAATAGCTCATAGATTCATTGTAATAATCAGTTAATTTCTAACTCCGTGTTTTGTAACCTGTAATTGTCAACATTGTGTTTCGTCCTTGAAACGATTCGATCTTGACTGTCTTTGCATTATATTGCGAATTTTCATCAATGTTTTTGAGGCTTAATTTTGTTGAATTAACTTATGCAGGGATTACAGGCATTCGAATAACTTCTCTTGTCAATAATGATTATAATCATAAGTTGTTGGTGTATGTTAATAGTCAAAATATACTGACCGATTCAGAGTCAACTCGTCCCCTGGTCAACTCGTCCTCTGGTCAACCCGTCACCTTTTTGGTCAACTCGTCCCTTGGACAACTCGTCCCCTGGTCAACTCGTCCCCAACTCGTCCCCTATATATGCAATGATAAAATATCATATAGTATGTCTTTTTGTCAATATTATGTCATATATATTCACTTTCACTTGCATTGTTTTTTTCATGCACATATTTCATTGTCTTTTTTTTTTTTTTTTTGACATCTTACGACTCTTGGTGCTTATCTAAGTTCTGAAGTGCTTGCTGATTCTTCCGCACATGTTTCCTACAATCAATGCAGGGGTACATTGTCACAATTAACGACACACATAAATTTAAAAAGTCACAATCAAAAACACAAATAATTAAAACTGTCACATACACCGTTCACACGCAGTCTATAATCCAACAATATGGAATTCTATGAAATGATTAATATGCACTATAAAAAATAATCCAATGTTGATATAACGTACAACGCAAATGTGATTTTAAGAATAAATCTTATATTTATCAGGGCAACTTTTATATTGACAATTTCACAACAAACAATTATCATGTTTTTAATTGACACGATCCTTCTATAATGAGATCAATACACACCGACATAAAATTTTAAGCACTTCTAATTTCTGCTAATCTGTCGTCAGTCTTTAATCCATTTCAGGGAGGCGGTAAAATCAAAGAGTTGGACCTAATTTTAGTTATAATTATCATTAAAACTCCGATTAATTAAACATTAATTGAATGTTTGCAAACTTACCTGTCTTTGTAGTTTTACTTCAAAGCTATGCACGTGCGCTTACATAAAGATCATTAAAATTTAACGTAAAAAAGACGTTATTTTATTAATATTTCGATATCAATCAAATTCCTTATTAATTTTACATATTTTACATAAAAGAACTATTTAAAGACATTGATTTACAACATAATAGTGACGAATAGATCGAAAGTAGGGGACGAGTTGACCATATTAGGGACGAGTTGACTCTTTGAGGACGAGTTGACCAAAAGTAGGGGACGAGTTGACCAAAAAGGTGACGAGTTGACCAGGGGACGAGTTCACCAGAGGACGAGTTAACCGGATTGCTACTGACCATAGGTGTTCGGCGCGTTGATTGGTCACTACCCCCACCCCCCCCTCACCCCCACACCCACTCTACAGTCCTCCTACCTCTCAAAACCATGTAAAAAAAATGATACATATATATTTAGTATATATGTATCATTTTTTTATTTTTTGTGGGAAATGAAGGTAATTGAATTAAAAGCATAAACCAAATATTAAAACATGTTTCAAATGAAAAATACTGTATTTTTACTTGGTTTTGAGAGGTAGGAGGGCTGTAGAGTGGGTGAGGGGGGGGGTGCGGGGGTAGTGACCAATCAATGCGCCGAACACCTATGATACTGAAATGCTGACGCTAGATTCTGATATATTCAGTCTGTTAACCTCTCGACAATGGGGGTCAACATTTTGAATTGCTCTTGCAATTTTTAGCTTGACTATTATATTTTAGGGAGGGCTATTTTACTCACCCGGACATAGTGTCACACTTTTGGTTTATTTTTCGTACCACCCAACTTATTTCATATACCCTTTGAGGTATTGCTTTGAAACTGTTTAATACTTGTAAGTGACCATCTTCTCCACTTCCAGACAAGAATTTTGTCATGGATTTGGACAAAATTATGCCCCTCTTTTGAATTACAATTTTGGTGCAGTGTATTTAATTTTGGTTACATTTTTTTTACAACCCCACTTATTATCTATACCGTTTGAGGTATTGCTTTGAAACTTTGTATTCTTGTTATGACCATCATCTCCACTTCCAGACAAAAGGACATAACTCTTTTTTGTTATGGAATATGTCAAAATTATCCCCCTTTCTGTCAAATTTTACTTACCACCCAAGTTTCTTCCTATACCCTTTTGTGATATTGCCTTGAAAGTTAGTATACTTGTTAGTGACCATTGTCCACACTTCCAGGCAAGAACTCATAAAAGTTATAATTACAAGACTGTGTAAGGGTTATTGATCACCAGTGATACCTCTAGTTAAATGTACCACAGAACTATTTGATAGTGATGAAAATTTTTATTGTCTGTGATTATTATTTGAAACTGAACTGAATTTGCCAGATTTTGCTGAGCTACTATTGATAATAGTTCATGTATTTAAATCATATGGTAGGGTTTTAGTTATACAAAATCAGAATTAATCATAAATGCTGAAATAGTTTTTTAAGAATGTTTAAATACTGTCTTTGCTATGATTTTGCTGGACATTGTCTGCCTTTGTGAAAATGTGTAGTGTTTATGGGTATGGTAACAATTACTGTCAATGTGATTTAGCATACAAACAAAAAGTTTGAATAAAAATACAATATACCTTAATTATCAAATTAATTATTTAAAGGTTACTGTGTGAAATAAAATTATTTATGATTGTTTGTTTTTTTGTAGAATATCAAGGTAAAATGGAGGAAATTCCATTTCCAGACCTTAAAATAGATACAAGTGACTTCATGGACAGTCTTAATGGGAGAAGTAAATGTTCTAAATGTGAGAAATCACGCAAATATTACTGCTACAATTGTTATATCCCAGTGCCAGAGATCGAAGACAAAGTTCCCACAGTAAAGGTAGGACTTACTGTAGCTTGTTTTGTTTTACTTAAGTAATTATGGGATGATGGTCTGTAGGAAGTCAGTATTATGTTATTGTGCATGGTGCCAGTGATTTGTTATCAATGAAACTGGACTATAGAAATTCACATTGTGGTCTTTACTTTTACACTGACAAATTTAGAACTGTTAAAATGACTCAATCACACATTTTCAGTTAATATAAAGACACTTACAGAATTAACTTTACATACTTTCCTGCGCATCTGTTGAATGTTCCACTACCATTTACTTTCTTAAGTTTAAAGGAATGGTGGTGTTTTAAAAATAACTGCTAAGGGAGGGTAAACTTAACATAACAGTCTTAAATCGGCTGATAATAAGATTAGCATCAATTTCTTATATCAGATAGTTTTGTTATTCTTACACAGATATACTTGTATGTGATAAAATGAGTTTGTAACATACACCAGTGTTGAATGATAATGACATTATGTTATGTTATATTTTCAAGCTGCCTATTAAAATTGATGTTATTAAACATCCTAGTGAAGTAGATGGTAAAAGTACAGCAGTACATGCAGCAGTTATAGCCCCTGATGATGTCACTGTTTACACATATCCCTGTATACCAGATTATGATATAGATAAGGTAAGTCACAGTGATAATAACATCATATATGTTTAACACCATTTTTGTGTCGCCTCTACGGAGTAGTGGCGACATATAGGGATCACTTCTCCGTCGTCCGTCTGTCTGTCTGTCCGAGCAAACATTTTGGGTTTAGGGGCTATATAACAGTAAAGAGAACAAAAAGTTCATTCCGTGATCAAAGGGTTTATGGGCTAGTAGCCCTTAAGAAAACAAAGAAAATAAGAAAGAAAATAGCCCCTAAACCCAAAATGTTGGAATGTCCGTCTGTCCGTTCGTCACAAAACTTGTCCAGACTACTTCTCATAAACTACTGGTGCAATTTCATCCAAACTTTACAGGAATGATCAGTACCAAGTCTAGTTGTGCACTGTCCGTCTGTCACAAAACTTGTCCCAACATGAAATTGGCCATCATGAGGCGACACATGTGATCACTGATCGCTCTTGTATTTCAAGTACAATAACTTGCATATCATCTAGCTTAGACTATGTTTGGAGCCATTAAGTTTTAGTTAAGCATAATTCTGAAAGTTATATTTTTGAAGTTGTACCCCATTTTTTACTGTCAAAAGTTGTAATTTTAACAGACAAGACTTACGTGTTAACACCACATGAGGTGCTCTTGTATTACAAATGTATCTATATAATGAATGTAGGAATTTGTAAAACTAGCACTAAATTTTTTTTATTCATTTATTACCCTAACTAGGTAACTCTGTTTATCTACCCTCTACACATAATATCAAAGCACCATATAGTCATAATTCAATATGCAATATACATGACAGTCAATCAATTTTCATATTACAAGTAAAAGAATATATACCATTTAACTACATGTATACTTATGTATTATGCAAAAAGAAAACTATAAAAAAACTTCAAAATTATTTTGGGGTAAACTAATTTAGTGTAGCTTATCTAGTGAATTAATTTAGTGCAGCTAATTTAATTAACTAAAGTTCTTGATATAAACTAATAGATAAAAGTGCTTAAACTTTTATTAGTACTAGTAAAAATATCCAAAATGAAAATGTATTATTCTAAAAGATGACCTATTAATCATATCATTAAACTTTTTTTAGACTGTGTTGGTATTTCCTGGTGAATCTTCAATAACCTTAGCTGATCTGGCACACAAGTTGAATGGAAATAGTAACAAGTCCATGGGAAAGAGAAATGTTTGTAGTGACCATGAAGATAGTGGGTCTCCTCATAAAAGATCAAGATTGGAATCAACAGAGATCTCTTCACAAGAAAAGTTAAATGAAGAAAATGTTTTAGGCAAAGAGGATAAACAAGAAGAAAAATCTTGTGATAATTTAGCATCAGAACAAACCTGTGGAAGCAAGGAAAAGGAAAATAACGATGGGGACAGAGTTTCTGCTGGAAATAGTGACAATAAACAAGAATCTCAGACACTTTGTAGTGGTTTAGAACTGGTTCCTTCATGCAAGTTGGAAAGAGTTGTTTTTGTAGATAGCACATGGAACCAAACTAAAACTATCTGCAGCGATGAACGCCTTAGAGGTAATGCCTCTTTTTTTATGTTCTCTCTTTTGTCTAAATTTAGAAATTGTGGTCAAGTGGTTAATTTTACAGCAAATTTCAATTTCCCTCCAAGGCTGTTTTCAATGTGTATGTCAAGGAACAAAGTTTTTGTTTGAGGAAACAGTCCATTTAACAATTATGTTAAATTTGAAATTAAATATGTTTGATTTAGTATCAAACTTACCAGGGCTTTCTTGTCATTTTCATCTTCATTATAATTAAAATTTAACGGTGCAATTTGTTTTGCAAACAACCTTTCATACAGAGCCATATTGCATGTCTAAAGTCTTTATAACACATTTTAATTTATAAAACCCAATAACTTAAGATTCCTTTGACCCACAGTCTTGATTTAGATTTGTCATTGTTAGTAGATAATCTCTATTGAATTTGAGGTTACCGGGTCAAAGGTCAAGGTCGCAGAGGCGTTGACTTTTAAAAGCTTGTCTGCCAAATTACTTAAGATTCCTTTGACCCACGGTATTCATATTTGGTATTTAGATTGGCCATGATAAGTAGATGATCCCTATTGATTTTGAGGTTAGTGGGTCAAAGGTCAAGGTCACAGGGGCCATGACTTCAAAAAGCTTGTCCACCCAATAACTTAAGATTCCTTTGACTGACAGTCTTCATAATTGATATTTAGATTGGCCATGATAAGTAGATGATCCCTATTGATTTTGAGGTTAGTGGGTCAAAGGTCAAGGTCACAAGGGCCTTGACCTCAAAAAGCTTGTCCACCCAATAACTTAAGATTCCTTTGACCCACAGTCTTCATATTTGGCATGGAGGTTAGCCATGATAAATATATGACCCCAGTCAAGATTGTCCATAAAAATGGTGTTACAAATACAGGTCCATTAAGTACTATTGAGCTCTGCACTATTTGTTTACTCACTAAATCGTATTATCTAAGGTCAAAATTAAATACTTAATATTTCTAATAATGTTTAATTATATCATGATTTCATTAAAAAAAAGTGTAAGCATAAAACAGTATATTTGCAACCAGACTTTCTCAGTATTATATGGGACAGAAAATAAAATAAGTAAGTCTAAGATGTATCATAAATAGTTAGCCCACCTTAAGATTCAGATATAATCATTGTTAATTTGGTCATTATTAATCTGGTCATTATTAATGTGGTTATTGTTAATCTGACCATTATCAGTCCGATCATTATTAATCTAGTCATTGTTAATCTGATCATTATTAATCTGATCATTTTTTATACAAGATGACTAACAGCTTTAATCTTTAATATACATGTACAATTGTCCTAATATTTTCAGGTCTTCAATGTATAGAACTAAAAACAAGGGAGACAAAGTTTTGGAGACATCAGAAAGATATTCCAAACACGTACCTGTCAACCATTGAAGCTATTTACTACTTCCTGCGAGAGTTCCACGAACAGTTTGTTTTATCTAGATACAGTGGCCAATATGACAACTTGTTATTTTTCTTTTCGTACATGTACAAGAAGATAAGAACTTTGTATGATGGGGGTAGTGACTTAAAAGCCTACAAAGAACGGACTGTCAAATAATATAAAACCAGATCTTATTTTAATGCTTGCTTGTATAGATGCTTCATAATCAAGTGCAGATAAAGTTTAGTTCTTACTGTCTATTGTTTTGATAATTTTTATATTTCGATGTATTTTTTAAACATTTTGAATACATGATTGTGCTTCATTATTAGGTTTATTGTTTTACTTATATCAGTCAATCTGTACATCAGCAGGTCTGTAAACCACTCCCTACTACTCAATAGTCCATCCGCTTAGTTCAATAGGGAGCGCTTCCAGATGCAAGAATATTATCTAAAACAAACCATACATGTGATTTAATTATTGAAAATAAATTACCAACGGTGAAAACCGTTTTTTAGCTTGACTGTTTGAAGAAAAGTGTGGCTATCCTGCTCACCCTGTTGTCAGCATAGGTGTAACTCTTTGGTAAAAGTTTTATGTATAACAGCATATCCCATCAACCACTTGATATTTTGATTAAAACTTTACACATGTCTTTTATATAATATTAGGTCACTCACTATCCAAGGCCCATAACTCTAGTCTAGATTATGACAGAATTATTGCCCATGGTCAATTTAGAAAACTCTTGGTCTTAAAATCTTTAAAGCTTCTAAAGGTATTCACTTAAAACATAACACATGCCTTAAGGATCATATTGAAGGTCACTGTCAAAGGCCCAGAACCCTGACATTGATTTGACTTAATTTTGGCCCTTTTTGAACTCAAAAAAATTCTTGGTTAAGCAACACATCAATCTTCAAAACTACTGATGGTTTTTGTTTGAATCTTAATACATAAGCCTTGAAGATATTATAATTGAAGGTCACTGTCCAAGGCTGATATCTGACTTTAGACTGATTTATCTCCCTTTTTGAACTGAAAAGATAATTGGGTAAAGTTTGCATACAACATCAATCTACAGAACTGCTGAAGGTTTTCACTTGAAACAGTACTTGTCTTGACGATTCATAATTGGAGGTCACTATCTAAGGCTAATTCAACCGTTTGTGAACCTTGAAAATTTGTGGTTAAACTTTTTTCGGTAAGGAAAATCTTTAAAAAAAAAAACAACTGATGGTACTAATTAACGTTTTCGAAATTCATGTCGTGATTCTACTTGGGTGCCTTAACTTTCATGCCTGAATTAATGCACTATGGGGCACCTGAGGTCTTCCTCCACCGGTAATGCTGGAAATCCCCATATCACCTATACTGTGTTGGTGTGACCTAAATGATAAATCACAATGCCCCGCCCCCACCCCAATATAATTAACAATTTGACCCTTAAGTAGTCACAACTATAATGCATGATAGAATCAGGCCATTTCATCACAAGGACATGTACTAGTGATACAATTTGTGTGCAAGTTGCGTTCAAGTTGAGTCGGAACTAAAACTATCGTAATGTAAAACAGCAAAAAATGCCAAAACTTGGCTCTTAAGGGACCGTTCCCTTCCTGGTATCTGGCTTTGTCAAGATAAGAACTTAACAGTTAGGGAGACAAGTTCTACGCAGTTATGTATATAATATTGGTCAGCAAATGTAGGATTTATGAGGAAAAGTTGTAAAATCAAATTTCAGCCTCAATGACCTGTTCCCTAGTGATAGCAATAGCTTATTTCTGATAACTATGTACACTTATTTACTTTATAATTTTTACAAATTCATTTGAGCCGTGTCACAACAAAACCAACATAATGGGTTTGCGAACAGCATGGATCCAGACCAGCCTGCGCATCCACGCAGTCTGATCAGGATCCATGCTGTTCGCTATCAGTTTCTTGACTTGTTATAGGGTCTGTAAGCGAACAGCATGGATCCTGATTAGACTGCGCGGATGCGCAAGCTGGTGTTGATCCATGCTGGTTGCTAACACATTATGTTGGTTTTGTCGTGACACGGCTCAAATTAGTTTGTGTTGGAAGCTTTAAGCTTATTGAAACACTATCAAATCTGTTCCTGTAACCAACCAGTACTAAGCATTGTATCTAAACTTTTTTGCTCAAGAAAACAACGGCTTGCCCCTGACTAGGTCCAAACCCATGCAGCCAGAATCTTGAAATTACTAGACCAATGTGTTAACCACTCTGCCACGTCACCACTCTAATACGAAGTATTTAAGAGGACAATATACAAATGTACTAGAGGTTGAAGAAGCAGTAGGTAAATGTGAAAGAAAGACTGACAGACCTCTATTATAAGCTTAACAAAGTTCCAACTGTACCTAAAGTTGCAATCGTCGATTATCACAGCACTGGTGGTTGTATCTTTTTATATGAATGAGAAATCAGTAATGCATTCAATTACGTGAAAGTTAGTTTGTATAATACTCTCTTGAACACATTAGTGATTTGATCTACATTGTACACTGCCCCACTAAACCAAAAGTTGCTAATTCAATGTGTTTCTTCATTGCCCCTCAGAGCACCGGGGACCAAATTGTTTGAAATATTTTTTTTTTAAATTTTAGTTTGATAAGTTCTGTAAAATATATCTTTTTACTAAAAAATACTTGGACCATAATACCTTGAAGTTATCCTTTAACTTCTTGGATAACCTTCATTTCTCACAGGAAAATGATAGTATGTATGTTTATAAACAAAATGCCATTCTAATTCTTTTCTAAAAACAACAAAGCAAAAAGAAGACTTTTACAATGTATATTTATTTCAGTATTTGTATTAAATTTTACTTACAACTAATGATTTTAGATTGAATCTATTTTAATTTTATTGTTAGCTAAATTTAGATGTATATGTAATATTAGTAAAATAACAATACCTCAGATTAAGAAAAAAATGAATTTAGTGTCTTTACATTTAATATAATGATTAATGTTCAAAAAGCAAAATAGATCTCTAAGTAAAAGACGTGACTTTAAAATATCACTTTGAAATCATGTCATTTTGTAATTCCTTTAAAAGTATGTAATTACGAATTACAAATTTAAAAATTCAAGTGCAGTGACGCAGGCATCTTGTATTGACTTCACCAAATTCATTGGAATCCTATTAAGTTTAGATATTTGATCTGATTTACTTGACAATGCTACAACAGAACTGTGAGATACACATAATTTTATATATACATGTATAATTAAAGATCAAAATTTGCATGGAATCACTTTACCAAAATCTTGAAATTTAACAAATTACATTTCTATGCATTTTGAAAGAGATTATGACATTGTCTATGCTTCATTTCAATAAACTAGTAAACATTATAAGGACACACTGATTCTAACATGGATCTAAAAGGATGGGCAAAATTTTATCTGCAGGGATTAACGTAAGACATTTGTAAAGAACAATGTCATTAACTCATCCTTTATGAAACATAATAATTTAATACAGGTAAAATACCAAAGTTCTAGATGTAACCAGTTAATTGTGCAAGTATAAAACATACATGTAGTTCCTTATTTCAATACACATTTAGTCAAATGTTCATAAAAATGAATTTAATGTAATGTTACTATTTTAATAGCAATTACAACAGATGTGTGAATGTCAACTAATCCAGCCTACAAACTACTTTTCTTTACTGATCAATATCCGCTGTAAACTTATTCACAATAATTTTTTTTTATTCGATTTCTTAATTTCAGTATTTTTATATAAAAAAAAGCAAATAAAAAATCTGCGCTAAGAGCAGTAAGTTGGGTTCGGAATTCATTCCTAGATAAGTCTAAAACACAACCTCATCATGGTAAACAGTCTAAAAATGAAGCATTGGAAGATACTTTGAATTATCAAATGGTGTAGATTTCTATTTATTGCATCACTGTGGACAATGGAAAGAATGACTTCCAGCTGTGTCCATTAACTCTTTAGAGCTTTCTTCTGTTAATTCTACGACAGTGGTTTCAACAACATCATTCGTATCATTTGTGACCTGCTTCATGATGTTCATAATTTGTTCCAAAACATGAATTTCAGCAGCAGATTCCTCCTCAGACTTATTTGATCCATTCATAATATCTCTAACAATGTGATCTGAAGTCTCAGTTTGAAGAGAGCATTCCACTGGTAAATTATTTTGTCTTTTTGTCATGTTACTCTCTACTTGTTCTAATACATGATTATTTCTTGGTTCGTCATCTGTACTGCTTGATCCCTCAATATTCTCCTTCAGTATTTGTTCTGAAATACCAATTTGATTTATACCTTCTTCAAATGTATTGTTAGGTTTTTTCATTATGTCAGTAACTGTTTGTTCTGCTGCTTCAACTGGATTTGTTGAGTCCTCACTATAAGATAAATTTTGGTTATTCATATCACTAGATACAGAATGTCCTGTACCCTGTATCCTAGCAACAGGTAAACCATCACTGTTCAACTCAATCGTAAAAGTTGGATTGTTACCTATCAAACGAATAATTTTTTCCTCGGATTTTTTATCAACACCAGTACTTGTTTCTCCCTGATCTTTTATACTGCCTATTGAATCTTCATGAGTAATTTCTTCGATACTAACATACAAAGGTTGACTAGTAAAGGATTCTCCTTTTTCACTTTCATTTGTTTTACTCAAACTTTGTATGTCATACTGAACAGGTGCCCCACATTGCTGATCATTTTCAGCACCTACTTTGCCACATGTTGAAACTGAATTTCTTTGTCTGGAACTCTCTATTGTCAAACTTGATACTGACATATGATCAGCTAATTTCAGAGGTGAAATGTTTCTTGTATCATTTCTTTTAACTTCACTTAATTTCGCAATATTAATTGTTGAAATGTTCACCGGTTCAAAGTTTTTGTCTTGAATTTTACCCTTATGAGTTTTGATTGGGTTCACTACAAAAACAATAGGCTTTGTACTTTTCTGAATAGATCCCAAAAGGTTTGGGGCTATCAAAATTTTGTGAGGTTTAGGGGCTTCTTTCTTTCCAGTATAGTTCATAATAATTTCATTCCCTGTTGTTGAAACTTTCATTAAGTCATTTGTTCCTGATTGGGAGCTGTCTCCACCTGTTCTATTTTCACCAACATCATCCCTACCTCTTTTGTCTATAATACTTTCTTCTGCTGCATGTCTTAGAAGATGTTTCTTCATGTTAGACTTGAAGTTAAATGTCTGAGAACATTCCGGGCACTTGTAAATGGTGCGATCACGATTGTGAAGTAACTTGTGGGTGACCATATTACCTTTCTGCGAGAAAGTTCTTTGACAGATATCGCATTTGTAATTCTTCTCACCTAAAAATAAATGTTTGAAAGAACTTATACTATTGTTTAATATATATCTGTATATAACATATCTGTATTTCTCTCAATTGAAATCAAATTTATTTTCAAATAAGATCAAGATAATTATAATTACACTGATATGCTGATTAAATATCCAATACTAGAAAATTAAAAATCATGAATGTTGTATATGTATATATACATATACAACATTCATGATTTTTAATTTTCTAGTATTGGATATTTAATCAGCATATCAGTGTATATATATATATATAAATTTTATAACTAATAAATCCAATAACCCTCAACAATTGGATTGTGCGTTTAATATATTAAAGCCTATCTGTCCAACAACTTATGTATGTTTAAGGTATGTTAAAGCCTATCTGTCCAACAACTTATGTATGTTTAAGGTAAAGTCTCCTGACTTTCCTTTTCTTACTGCTTAGGGTTCAAATCCCTACAGGGAAATTGGATTTTTTACGTGAAAACTAACAGAAGTTTGGTGATTGTACATGAAATAATGAACAAATGGGGCACCAAAGGACTATTTCTCCACCTGAAAAATCATCACCACTTTTACATAGTCAATGGGACTTAAACCAACCATAAAAAAAGCTGTCTAACAACCGACTTATCGTGTATGTTGCAGGTAAGTTTCAATGCTGATCTAACCAAACATGTACATGAATGGCTATCATGTTCTGAGCTATCCAATACATGAAGTTATGTTATTTTCCAGGTAATTGTTTACTTATGGACATAAATATTCTGAGCATACCTTAATTAAATGATGTGCCAAGCTTAGTTTTTGAGTTAGCCTATACAGAGCTGTGCAGGTCTGTCCTGGAATGGACATAATGTTGATTTAAGTTTAATCCAAGAGCTTACCTGTATGTTTATACATATGACTATCCAGGTAAGTTTTCCTGCTGAATTTCTCGTCACAAAGTTGACAATGGTGTGGTTTATCATCAGAATGTACTTTTTCATGCTTAGCCAACGTTGTTTTCAGTCTACAAGCAGAATAAAACAAGAAATGTTTGTGAAATATTGTGAAAGAAGTAAGCTCTCCAATTAGTCAATTTACATGAACTTTTAACACAAGTTATGTCTATCCGTAGGCTAAAGATTACTTAAATTATTGGTCAACCATTAATTTTTCTATTGGTAAAAGTGTTCTTTTGTTACTGATTAGACAATTTTTTCTGTTGGTGAAAGCCACATTGAGAGGGAGAGAGCCTATTGATTTTATGAACAGAAAGGACACACACATTTTTGCAAGAATTAAATATATGACCTAAGATACATTCATCATAGTAGTACACATGTACTTTATATATGGCTCATTCAACTACCTAGATTAATCCAAGTCATCAAAGATAATTCAAAGGATTGAGCATATCTGACCATCTAAAATATTTAGATCATTTAGATATTTAATTTTACCTGAATGCTTTTCCACAGCCTTCAAAAGAGCACACAAAGGATTTTATGTTGGTATGCAGTGTTTGATGAAGTTCAAGACCTGTCTTTCTATAGAAAGTTTTCTTGCAGACGTCACATTCATACTGTTTCTTGTCTGTATCCTTTGTATGTAACGCTTCAATGTGACACTTTAGGGCATTAGATGTTTTAAAGGTATGACCACAAAACTCACAGTGATAATTTCTTATATTCAAGTGGACACAGTCTGTATGCTTTTTTCTGTTAGATTTATGAGTGAATTCTTTGTCACATCCTTCAAAATCACATTTATAGACTACGGGTGATTTTGCCTTCTTCTCATACAAATCAGCCGAAGTCTCATTTTCATGTGTTAATTTCAAATGACTTCTAAGAAGCCCTGGGTTTTTAAAATCAGTCTCACAAAATTCACAACTGTATTTCTTAATTAAGTGTGTTCTACTGATATGCTTTTGGCAAGATAATTCCTTAGTAAATTCTTTGAGGCAACCATCATAGGTGCATTTATAAATCTTAGTTTTAGATTTTACTGGCCTTACATCAAATTGACCATGTGACTCTTTCAAATGTTCCTGCAGTGCAATCTTTGTTTCAAAACACATACTGCATATTTCACATAGACTAAGTGATTTATGTGTTTCTCTGATATGTGATATATATTCACCTTTACTCGTAAATAGCAAATTACAATATAAACAAGTGATGTTGTTAGTGTTTGTATATGGTATCTTATCCGCCATCATATCATCTACTTGTGTGTCTAAATCATCTTCTATACTCATCTCATCATGTTCTGATTCATCTTCATATTCAATATTCTCATTAACTTCTGCACTTAAATCACTTACTGCAGTACTGTATTTATCTTGTTTATCATTTAGATAACTTACCGCAGTATTGTTTCTTTCTTGCTTATCTAGATCATTAGTGGCAGTAGCCTTATCACAATTTTCTATATCTGTGTCATGAAATTTTGATTTATTACTGTTAATTGGACTTGATGATCTCTTGATTTTTTTGGTTAAATCTTTTGATTTTACTGATTCATAAATCTCAAAATCATCATTGGATTTTCTTGTCACTTGTCTAGCACTTCTAGTTCTTGTTTTGCCTCCAGGAATGTCAGATACAGTCTTTTTTACTTGTTTATTTTTCTCTTGTGTTATTTTCTTGACAGGACCTGCCTTATTTCGCTTCATAACTTGTTTATTTCTTATAACCGCTTTCTTCCCAGGCTCTTTAGTATCCTTTTTAGATGAATTTTTCCTATTTGATATTGTTTTCTTTTCAAGTTTACCTTTTTTATTAATTGCAGCAATATCATCCTCTCTGTTCACACTTCTGGATTTTCTTTTCAATGTTCTTTTTGTATCTTCTTTATTCTTTCCTGAAAAACTTTGATCAGGATTTCGCTTTTCCTTTTTAGTATTTTTTTTTAGTTTACTTTCAAATGAAGTCAGAGGTCTTGTCCCCTCCATTTTGTGTGATGTAACTTTCACATCACCATACACAAAATCTTCATTTTTCTTTACTTTGATATGCCTGCATGTTTTTCTAGTTCCCAGAACATGGTCCCTTTCAGTTCCAACAGTGACTTTCTTTTTCAGTTTCTTCATACTACCTCTTAGGCTTATAGACCTATGAAAAATATGAGCATTTTTAGTGTGAAAAATAAACAACAAAATTACACTAGTAAATGTTAAGATCTATATTAATCAGTTCACTGTTCACATCAGTATTTTAACAAGATTTTATATACATTCCATCCCTGAACCATTGTTAAAAGAGAAAAAAATTAAACCCTCCACAGGACCTTTTTACAAATATATAACAAAGGCCTGTTAAAGGCCTATTTCCATCTGAAATTTTCCTTAAAATCTTGCACATTTCCTAATGTACACGGTTTTTACTTTCCCATATTAGTAATATTAGCAAGAAGCTACAGCCTCTTCCCAATAAAAGGCAGCAAATTTGTTATAATTTTTCTTTTCACTCATATTATCCATTAAATACATGGATTTACAATTCAGTGTTGTGGTAAATACTTGTATTTGATACAATCTGTATCAATTTTTGTTGCAACTGTAAATAGAGGAGCGGGGTCAAACACAGGTCATTATGACCAAGAATCTATCTTCCATTAATGTAAACCTCTTGTGTGAACAGTATGTGTGATGTAGAAAATCAGTAAAAACATATTTTGATCATTAATAAGAAATGAAGTAACGATGTTTAACATAAAAGTTTTCTTTTTAAAGCTGCATGCCTCCAGATGAGTCAAAATATTTCAATACTAGAACTCCGCGAGTCGGATGTGTTGCCTTGTGAACAATATAGTTTAGGAGAAATGGCCAGGACAAAAATGATATTTGAAAATCAACAAAGGGCAATAGCTCAAAAAATAAGAAATGCAGAGCAGCAGTTTCTGTGCATTGCACTTCTTATCAATAAGATCTATCATCCTACTAAGTTTCAAGTCTTAAGCTTTTATAATTTATGAGAAATGGCCTGGACAAAAATAAAGTTTGAAAATTAACAAGGGCAATAACTAAAAAAATAAGAAATGCAGAGTACCAGTTCTTGGGCACTGCACTTCTTCTTAATGAGATCTATCATCCTATGAAGTTTCATGTCCATAGCTTTTAAACTTAAGGAGAAATGGCCTGGACAAAAATAAAGTATGAAAATAAACAAAGGGCAATAACTCAAAAAATAAGAAATGCAGAGTACCAGGCAATAACTCAAAAAATAAGAAATGCAGAGTACCAGTTCTTGTGCACAGCACTTCTCCTTAATGAGATCTATCATCCTATGAAGTTTCAAGTCCATAGCTTTTATACTTAAGGAGAAATGGCCCGGACAAAAATAAAGTATGAAAATTAACAAAGGGCAATAACTCAAAAAATAAGAAATGCAGAGTACCAGTTCTTGTGCACTGCACTTCTTCTTAATGAGATCTATCATCCTATGAAGTTTCAAGTCCATAAGTATGAAAATTAACAAAGGGCAATAACTCAAAAAAATAAGAAATGCAGAGTGCCAGTTCTTGTGCACTGCACTTCTTCTTAATGAGATCTATCATCCTATGAAGTTTCAAGTCCATAGATTTGATACTTTAGGAGAAATGGCCTGGACAAAAATAAAGTATGAAAATTAAACAATAACTTTATTAGCAATAACTCAAAAAATAAGGAGTACAGAGTACCGGTTCTTGTGCACTGCACTTCGGGTCATTGTAAGAAGCATGCATACCAAGTTTGAAGTCAATCCGACTTATAATGACTGACTTATGCTCCGGACAAGCTTAAGGGGACGCCGACGCCGACAACGACACCGCCGACAAAAGTAACCCCTATATGTCGCCTTTTTCAAGGTGACACAAAAATCAAACTTGAGAAATATGTACTAACATTTTAGGAAAAGTAAAATGATTCAAGATTTAAGTAATATTTTACATGTTATGTGCGGTTAATGGCTGATTTCTCGAGATTTACAAGTATATTTCTACTGCGTTACTAATGCAGTAAGGGCTATTTATGCATATTTTGACCACTTTTTGGTAATTTACGTGTGTTGTAAGTGCCATTGATAATGTGTAAATTGCTTCCTTTTGGTTATTTCACAATATAATACATTCAAATACATTTTCAAAATTTTCATGAACATTAGCATGAATCTGGAGGAGTGCTTCTTTAATATCCATTTTGATAAATTATCATGTAAAATATCTAAAAAACAACAACTCCAACAACAGATTAGAGATTAACAAAAATGGTGGTAGTGATAATCGGAAACATTCTGACTACTTTGATGATAGGTTGAACGCCATCAACTCTGTCATATCTCATTAACAGTACAAATTCCTGCATTTACTCATTATTTACAAACTTAAACTCCGAGAAAGGTCTAGTTAATATAATGAAAACTTTATGCTTGTTATTAAATCATAAGGACTTTCCACATCATAGGTAGCACCTAATTTCATATTACATACATGTATTCTAAAAATGCTTTTAATAATCTCTATCACAGGGGATGACCATGGCAGGGGACTGTCACACATTCTTCTATGGGTAGAGCTACCTGACTATGGTGAATCTTGCAGAAAATAGATTTGAGTAAATCACAGCTTTTATTTAGGTCCAGTAAAGTTCTCTTCAATATGTATATGTTGTGCTAGTTATCACAGCAGCTCAGCTTTCGGTGTCATAAGTAGCACATTATTTTAATATTGTTATAGTTATGTATGCCTATGGCAATCGTATATAACTCTACTGGTTCGGGACCACCAAAACCGGACAACCATTAAACCCGGATAGCCCTAGAAATGCTTGATTTCTGTTTTTCTTTGTTCAGTGGTTTTCGATCAATCAGTCCCTTTTTATCAACAACAAATGCATGTTTCTTCTATAATAAAGTAAATTAATTTATTATTTTTCATTCGTAAAAGGTAATATGGAACTGTCTATTCAAGAACGTTGACATTGAAAATTTGAATGTATCTTTGACAAGAGTGCACTAACTAACCTATTATACTAGCTATTACCATTTGAAGAGTAAACCATAGAATATTCAAAACTTCAGAATTTGCTGCTGAAATCTTGAATATCATATAAATTAAAAAATCAAAAATTAAAACACCCAAGCTTTAAACTGGATTAAATCTAGGTCATGTGCATATATGTCTGGACACATGGTATGGGTAGTGTGGACAATTTAGTTAATTTTGATACCCTCCTTTATGGGCCTCAGATATAAGTGTCAACATAATCAGAAATAAACAAACTTGTTCACCAGTTAGAAGAACCAAGCTGTACTGTGTCAAATTTTCAGATCTTTAGCTTTAAAATCATGAAATCTGTACAGGCATGCAAGCAGTTACCATACAGGAGCAGTACCCATATTTTTTTGTTTAAATGCTTGATTTTTACTTACATTATTTAAAAATTGATATCAAATCAAACAGATGAATGAATGAGACAAAATCTAAGCGTCAGTTTGGCAATAAGTACAAAAAGTTTTTAATTGAAATCACTTTCACCTGTGCATTGTCAAAACATGACCTTGTAAACGTTGGGGGATAGTGACCATGTGGGCATGCACAAAAATATTTACATTTGAGGCCTATTAAAGGGTTTTCCACTAATACCACCTGTGTACAGATAAGTGGGCAATGTTTAGTTATCAGAATTTTGACCTACAAATATATATTACTAATTAAATAATTGTATGGCTTTAATGGGTAAAATATCATGCATACAATCATGTCATTGCATGTGAATGCTTTGAAGTAAAGGTACCAGGGAAAAAGACACCAGTGTTTTGTCTACGCTCTCTATATAATTATGGTGAATGACACCTATTTACCTCTGAGAAAATGGTCGTTTCAATAGTTGAAAATGAAAAATAGGTCTGATATAACAACATTGTATAATTATAATGGGTCATATTTTATGTACAGGAACTACTTATCTTCATACAAAATAATGGATACCCCATATGAGGCCCCATAACTTGGGGTTATTCTATAAAATGTTTAGAGCATAATGGAATTTCCATAATTTGTGAGACATGCCGAACATTTTTTTTTTTTGGTGAATGAGCGTAATAAAAATAATTTTTAAGTAACAACCATTTTTGTACGGGTACTGCTCGCATGCCAATATGGAAAAATGTTCAAAAAGTGGCCGGTTGATGGTCCCTGACCAGTATCCCTGTTTCTCGTATTCTCGGGGTTTCTCGTATTCTCGTGGAATCATTAAAACGGATGGAAGCGACGCTCGCGACTTCCGTCGATATCCGAAAACATGTCTATTTAGCAGAGCATTTTCATCTCCATTAAAAAAAATTTAAAAAATGCGACAAAAACAGATAAAAAACCAAAATAACTCTGGAAATAATCGTAAAATCCAGAGAATAAACATTAAATTTATCAATTTCCCCCCAAAAATCATCAATTTTCTAGTTTTTTCCATGTTGCAGAAACCTGTAGCGGGTCTCTGACGCAAGAAGCTTCAAATGACGGTCTCACACTACTATTTATACAATACAGCTCAAAATATTTGTTCCACGGATAGACAGTATAAAAAAGATATGAACTCCAATTAAAAACCAATAATGAAACATTGTTTGTCCTAAACACATTTCATTTTTGACAACTGCAATGGAAAACAGTAGTATTAATTGCTTAATGTTCATATAACTAATAAGTAACTAATAAATAAACGTAAACTTAATATATATTAGAGAGATAATGTAAATAACAACCACTAAATGGAAGTTCAAACTATTTTTTGGAACGATCAAAATCATTTGGTACCAAAGAGGCGTCAATATGATCCTTAAAGTTTGATATGGCCTGCCAAGCTGTTATTAAAACACAATAAAATTATAGATTTAGGCCATTTAACACTTAATTAGTGTGGCACTAATGATTTGAACTGGTATGTAGAATAAAATCATCACATAGCGACCAGCCTTAACAACCAATCAAATTCCACGAGAATACGAGAAAGCACCTGCTTCACATAGAGGGTGAAGGTCAGTATATACAAGCAGAAATATCTTTAGTTTTGCTTACAATTACGATCTTTCTTTCTTTGTATTTTGTTAATAAGGTATTTCTCTGTGTATCAGGCTAAAAATACTGTAACAGAATGTTTTATAAATATTATGCAACCAAGTTTAGTCCTTAACCCCCCGAGAATACGAGAAAACAGGATATACATATTTTACCCGAAGTTATTAAATGTCCGAAATCATCCTATTAAGTTCAAACCACCTGTTTTCTGACAACAAATGAATTTCCCTTGCAATAAATAATAGACAGTTAAAAATAATATAATTTTAACTAACACCTTAAAAATTTACAGAAATATATAACTGAATGTGTATATTACCTTAATTTTCACTTACCAGGTATTTCGTTGTTACAAATGGTGTTTATGTATTAAAGGGCAGTCACTCTTCTTTCAAATACTTTTAAATAAAATCTGCATCCAGTTTTCTTGGTACACGGAACATTGAAATACGGTATTCCGTAAGTCATCTTCAAGATATGAGATTAAAAAAAAAAGCTGATTAACAAAGTCATTTTCAATTAATCTTTGGCGCCTCAGTGGTGTACTCTAATAGGCCTGTTGCACGGTGGGATCGCCTACAGAAAAGCCGGGATCCGGGATCGTATTAAACATATAGTAATCCCGGGAATTGACCACCAGTTCTCGGTGTCGACGATAAATTATCGATTATCTCATGCATTTCGTCAAAGATATGCTTGTGATATGCCTGTTGACAATTTTAATGATGTTTTTTATTGTTGATTGCTATGATATTTTTTTGTATTTGAATGATTTTCGGTACTGTATACATGTTTCTTGGTTGGTTCTTTCATATGTTTAATAATGAAAACGTTTAATTAATAACAGCCGTACTACAAACACTACAATTTGTACGGAAATAAAGTTTAGATTAGAATCTATTATTATTATTATTATTATTATTATTATTATTATTATTATTATTATTATTATTATTATTATTATTATTGTTGTTATTATTATTATAATAATTATTATTATTATTTGAATGTTTTTGTAGAGCTTTTTGAACAAGTTTGATTTGTAGTAGTTATGAAAAAAAAATTTGCTAACGTATTTTTTCACACATGAGAAAGTTAATTGACCTCAGAATGTCACACACCTAAAATCTTATTTTGGAAGTACATAGTCGCTGTGTATTAATTGATTATCAAGACTGCGGGGCCCCTTATTGAACACGTGACTGTGGGAAACGGACAAAAGCCCTCCCGGACAAAAGCGCTCCCGTCAAAAAATGACAAGGCGGACAATAGCCCTCTCGTGAAAATGACAGGGCGGATAAAAGCCCTCCCGTGAAAATAACAGGGCGGACAAAAGCCCTCCCATGAAAATGACTTGGCGGACGAAAGCCCTCCCGTGAAATTAACAAGGCGGACAAAAGCCCTCCCGTAACAAAAATAAATATGTATGTTGAATACCTGTTTTTTCAATGCACACAATATATTAAAATTGTTTCATATATTTCTTGTTGTTTTAAATTTGCCTTAGTATGCGTATGAGCTTTAACCACCTTTTATTCTGAATATACCTTCCTGAAATGTTTAAGGAGTTAACTTTGTACATGTATGTCATAAAAAACAGTCACTTTAAAAGTAGTTGACTCCGTACAAGGCACATTATAAATGTCTTTAACTTTTATGTTAGATAATTTTAACATCTTTTCATTATTTATAACTCTATTAATATTAACTTCACATAGGAGTAATCCATCATATCAACGTGAATAAATATGCTTTTACAGATTTTAGCACTTATTATTCAAATGCCTCTCAGGAATGTGCTCAAGCTCATACAAACACGGTTATGCCAATGGTAAAAAAAATCATGCTTTCAATTTTAATATGTTGAGTGCATTGAAAAGAAAATATAAACTATTCAACGTACAAATATGTATTTGGTGAAGGAGGGGTTATGTCCGCCCTATTATTTTCACGGGAGGGCTTTTGTCCGCCCAGTCATTTTTACGGGAGGGCTTTTGTCCGCCCTGTCATTTTCACGGGAGGGCTTTTGTCCGCCTTGTCATTTTCACGGGAGGGCTTTTGTCCGGGAGGGCTTTTGTCCTACACTCCGTGACTGTTGGTGTGTCCATCATAAACATCATGAAAAGTTTAATATACATGTATACTGTATTACATATATTCTTAAATGTATGTACCAAACATTTATCATAATATGATAATATGTAATAAGAAAAAGTAAATATAAGTTATCAATCAATTCATTTATTGATATATACATGTATTTTCATAAATCATTAATGCAGGTGTCATTGGTAAATTATCGATTTGATAATTAGCCCCTACATTTTTTTACAGATGTGTAATGTTATGTCAGTATTCTTAAAGAAATTATGAAGTAGACTTGTGTATCTTTTTTCTGACGGAGTTGGTTTTGATGGTTTCGAGATATTGACGCAAATGACACGTGCCGTTTTTATAATATTAGAGTAGAGACACCTGTCTGGTGAACCAAAGTGTGATGATTGCTACGTAAAGTAAGATTAAGCCGGTTTTTTTTTTTTTATTTAAATACATCTTTTTGATTTGTCACGGAAAAAGATGACCTTTTATATAAATCTTTTGATTTTCCTACTTAGATATAAAATCTTTTTTAATTTTTTTAGTGATTTCCACTTGTCAAACAGAATCAGACTTGTAATGTTCAAATCATTTTACTCCTATCAATAAATTAGTAAATTGTACCTTTAAAAATCACAACAAACGAATTATCATTTTCTCTATTAAATCATTACGATACTTGTAACAATATTTTTAGAATATCTTTGATCTACCATATCACATTTAGAAAAAGTCGGGATTGTATTTTGATATATAGAGATCCCGGGATTTGACCACTGCCATGTCACATTCAGAAAAGCCGGGATCGTATTCAACAAAGAGAGATACCGGGAATTGACTGTCTGTCATATCACATTTAGAAAAGCCGGGATTGTATTAGATATATAGAGGTCCAAGCTGGATCACATTTATAAAAGCCGGGATCGTTTTTAGACAAGCAGTGTCTATCATCACCATCATCATCGTCGTCATCACCATTATCGTCGATCACTAATAAATCAAGTTATAATAATAATATAGGGGAAATTATCATTGAGTGGCATATGCGGCATAGTTTTAAATATATATAATAATGGGTATATAACGAAGGTAAATACAAGTTGGCAATCAATTAATTCTATGATAATATACATGTATCTAAATCATATACCAGTAAGGTAGAAGTAGCTAGTTCATTTTGAACAAACACAAAACAGAACAGAACTTTTATTTCGGATTTATATACATAGTACATCATCTCATACATAAAACATTCAAGTAACATGTACTTTCAGTGCACTCAAATGTAAAGAAATCATGACATAAATATTATAAAGAGATCAATAATTGTAATGAAACTTACGTTGATTGTTATTAAGCCTCAGTTGAGGATGAACATATTTAATGAAGAAAATCAATATCAAAACTTTAAAATAAAAAAAATTGATCTATCATTGAACATTATTTATTATTACCCCTCACTTTTTTCGTAATGCTAATTTCCCATAGGCCTCTGGGAGTTATTTTTACTGTTAATGCAAGTGTACCACGTGACTAAGAATTTTGTACTGTTACATAGGTAACAGTATTTTTTAACAGGTCACGTGGTCTATTTCCTAAATAAAATGAAATAAAATGGCCGCCATGTTTTTCTCGATTCATTCTTATTTTCAACGTTAAACCCCGATAGGACATCAATTTCTCCTCTGGAGTCACTACGACACTCATAAAATTTAGTTGTTTGCACCCTGGTGTGCTTCTCGCGTATAAAATATCTTTTTGTTGATTAGTCAAAAAGTGAACATCCGTTTTCAACGGCAGTAATTGCAATGTAAATAATTATGTGTCAAACTGGAACATGCAGACGATTTAAGCAAGCAACAAAGGATTAGTTAACAAATTTAATCAGTGAAACGTTACGGATATAGCTAGTGGACATAGGATATCATCGTTATTTTGTCAAAAACCACGCTATGAATATTCTGGAAACAGAAGGGTCAGATTTCACAGATCATAACCCTGTAAATGGGTTAGTGTTTTGTTTCCTAAATAAAACCTAGCTTATTGTATGTTTATGATTTGTAGATATCATCACTTGCTTAAAGAATAAAAGAAAAAGAAAACTTCTATGTTACCTATGTAACAGTACAAAATTCTTAGTCACGTGGTACACTTGCATTAACAGTAAAAATAACTCCCAGAGGCCTATGGGAAATTAGCATTACAAAAAAAGTGAGGGGTAATAACTCTAAATAACTTTCGTTACAAAACTTCACATGTACAGACATGTAAATAAACACATGTTTCAGTATGATAATTCATTTTAAATAGCTGCATGCCTCCTGATAAACCAAAATATTTCAAGAAAATCAAACTCGCGAAAATGTACCAATTAAGATTTTTAAGAAAGTAAAAAAAAGATAGACGTTTCAGGTAATAAATTGCATGATATACGCGATTTATGCCTGATTTGTCGTATTTCTGGGACATAAAGATAACTTATGTCCCAGCGGTATTTATAACGTTAATTACGTACCTGTTATAACCATACATATTGATTGTATTTCATTAAGCGGTATAGAAATCTTACAAAGAACAAGGGATGTATATTATATATATAACGTTCCTGAAAAATCGAAAACCATGTGGCAATGACTTTTTTCAAGTATTAGGATTCACAATAGACGAAAATAAGATTATTGTTGATATTACAAATCTATTCGTATAAAATAATAAAAAAGTACTATATATGATTATGACACAAATTAACAAGGAAGAACCTGTACAGTGGTAATAGTAAAACATAAAAATATTATACAAGTAAAATAACTTTGCCTAGTACATACAGTTTCACAATTTTAATTAAAAATGCACGTAATCTGTGCTTCGTAATTAATTTCTAAATATATATTATATACGTATAATTTTTACAAATGTGATTAAGAGTATAATATGTAAATTAATACATTGTATAATCTTTACTGTCACATAAATTATTTCATTAATACAAAGATTTGTATCTGTAAGCGACGCTGGGCCAATCAACAGGGTGCATATATATGTTGTAATTACAATTAAGCGACACAGGGCCGTGATATCATAAATCAACAGGGTGCATAACATTACATCAGATAACGTCACTTGTGCCAGTTATTTAATTATGATCCGACTTTATGATCATCCTAGGGTTTTATGACATTGGCCATGTCTCACTGATTTGATCCCAAAGAATGACTTTCAACTGGTATTAATAAACACAATTGTTACAGAAATAAGTATTTTTCAATTATTAACGAAATTTCTGTGTAAGTTTGTCACCTTGTTGATAAATACGCTTAATGAAGAAAAATATTTTCTTTTCATTATCTAATAAGCAGAATATGAAAAATATGAAAATATCACAATATAATTCATTGTACCTTTCATCACAGGAAATTGAAATTCTATCAATATTAATGAAAATATTCAAAATATACCCCCTATACAGTATAAAAAGTTTATTTATACTGTACGGGGGGTATATTTTGGATACTATCATTAATATTGATAGAATTTCAAGTGCCTGTGCTTTCATAAAATATGCAGTGCATTAAACTGGCGTGAAGTATAATTTTATGATAATGACTTTTTATCTTTTCTCAATTAATTCGCTTTGTGACACAATATTTTGATGTTGCAAGACTCAAACTTGTTTTTATTGGCAAAAGCGGTTATGTAAGTCCTGTTACATGAACAGAGTTGAAATTTTGATGGTGTGTCCTAGATATAGAGAGCTAAGAAAAAAGTTTTTAAAGGGATATTTCTGTAGGTGGCCGACAATTAATAAATTTGAGTCTTTATTAAATTCTAAATCGAAAATAGAGCTATACAACCTTTCTAAGCTTTTATATTTTGCAAATAAAGAGAGAATATCTTGATGATGTAGTATTAATTAATATCATATTAACATCTTGATGTAGTATCAATATCATATTTTAGACATTTTGTGCAACCTGCTATTTCCTTACTAATTTAAGACCTTTCAGGAAATAGTGTTATTATAATTTTTTCATTCCATGTCAGATCACATTTTCATGAATGTATATATATATGTTTTGTTTTGCTATAAACATTGTAATAATGTTTTATTTGCAATAAAAGTATTTGTATTTGTTTGTATACACATTTGTTTTTATTGGCAAAAGCATTATACAGTGTCAAGTTATTTGGTCTTTCTTTTAAAATTGCCTTTTATGGACCGTGTTTCACACTGTGTTTACTGATATCGTATGTAAAGATAATATATCTTACATGTGTGCACTAAAATATGTTTATTTTACATTCAGAAAGAGCAATTATCAGTATTATAAAATATCAATTTTAAGTATAATTAATCTTTAATGCAATAGCTATTAAATTCGAATTAAGGTGTTGAATTTTTTAATTGCTTCACCCAGAGACATAGATAATGTTATCTATGTCTCTGCTTCATCATTATATTTTTCCTTTACCATGATCTTGCACATATAAATTTTCATCAAGTTATGTAACGTGAATTACTATTTTAAATGTTATACGAACCGCAGCCAGAAAATCCGGGATCCTATTAACCCTTTCCCCCATAAGCATATTGTGAAAAATGGCCGTTTTCACTGAAAAGACTCCTGTTACAAATTCAAACTGCTATGAAACTATAGAAAAAGCTTCAATACTAATCAAACTTGGCACAAATGTTGACTGGACCATTGTCTTTTTAACGACATGCTCAGTCTTAAATTTTCTGTTACCATGGCAACGAGGGGACATCTCAAAATTGCCAAAAATCACTATTTTGCCTCGATTTTTCATCAAAATTTATTTCAAAGTGCTGCAACTTCTCAAGGGATTGAGATAGAGTCAAAGGCTTTTCAGCGTTGGTTACACGTTACATTTTGATCGACCTGGGGTCATTTTTAGCCTCTCACAAGTCCAAAATTTTCTTGGCGATGAGGGGGACTCCGCCCCCTTCAACCCCCTGATGTATATTTTGGATGGGGGGGGGGGCGCCGAAAAAGTGCTCAATTTTTTTAGCAACATTTCTCAAACGAAAACATGTGTTTGGGGCCCAAATAGGATATTTTTTCACTATTTGAGGCCTAAAAAAAGGGGGGGGGGGTCGAAAGTGCGTTGTTTCGCGTATATATGAGGTAAAGGGTTAAAACATATAGAGATCCCGGGAATTGACCAGTCCAAGAAGATATTTTTCAGATAAGACGGGATCGTATTAAAACACATAGGGGTCCCGGGTATTGACCAGTTCAAGAATATAGTTTTCAGAAAAACCGGGATCGTATTAGACGCACAGATAAAAATTAAATTATCATTCGGTCTATTGGCCATAGTCGGAAGTGTCACTAAACACCTTTAATGCACCAATGTTAATTAACACCAGGGACGATACGTTTTGGGTCATGTACTGGACATATTTTAAAAAAAAAAATTAAGGAAAATGAGGTCCGCCACAGTTCTTTTTCATTTTATATTAAAAATTGACAAATAATTTGTTTTTCTTTTTAAAATATTTATTTCAGACATTCATATCTGTTTATAAGTGAAACATGTTATTTTTATACGATCCATGGAACTTGATTACTTGTTAAACATCTGTAATATATACCTTATGTTTTACATTTGTATTCTTTATTTTTTTTTCTTCAACGTGAAAGCCTTCTGGTATAGTATATATCATTAGAAAAACAACAACACATTTGTTAATTTGCAGATAAATCAGCATTTTTATATAGTATTTTACACGCCTTTTACGTAAAATAAGTATGCCAATTAAGTCGTATTTGTATTTACGATAATACCATAATGGTCACGAAAAATAGTTGATTTTCCTTATTAGATATAAGAGATCCCGGATAATCGCATTAAGAAAAGCCGGGATCGTATAAGATATATATATATATATATATATATATATAATTCCCGGGATCTCTGTACTGATTATTAGATTCCGGCTTTTCTGAAAGCTAGATGGTAATGGTCAATTTCCGGGATATCCCGGGAAATTGACCATTACCATCTAGCTTTCAGAAATATATATTTATATATATATATATCCGGGAAATTGACCATTACCATCTAGCTTTCAGAAAAGCCGGAATCTAATAATCAGTACAGAGATCCCGGGAATTGACCACCTGTCATACATGTCAAAAGTTTTTTTTGTTATCAATTATGTCAGGTACGTTTATTAACAATATACGTACCTGATTATGTTAAGTATATCTTCTGATCTTTTCTTAAAATAATATTTAAATACATGAACATAAAATTAAGCCAAATATTGTATTTACAAAAACTTTGATTTTTCCAATTATACTATAATTACAAGTATTGTGATTTCCGCATTTTAAGTTTGTTAATAAATAACTCGAAATATATTTAAATCTTAAGTTAAATTCATTTACTGTTCATTACATACAATTAAAGAAATAAATAGTTAACGTTTAATCGCCAATAATCAGCACAAATATAGTTTATGAGTTTTCCCTATATATCTAATACGATCCCGGATCCCGGGCGTCCCGGATCGCTGGATTTTCCCCCCCACCATGTTGCACATAGTTTAGAATGACTATTTAAAAAGATATAGGCATAAATTATGTTTTCATCAAAATAATCATACTTTCAGACGATTAGAGGCGACTAAATAGGATGGTATAACTTGGGTCTTTGCATCTCTTAGCCTCAGCAGGTGGGGGTGTTTTGATCCCTGGTGTTGCCGATATTAGCCAAGATCATCTTTCCTGTTTCGGCACCATATGACCTATATTGTGTTGTTGCGACGTAACACCAAACAAACGGACAGCAACATCTCGAATCATTTATTTTCCAAACTTACTTAATGTGACATTATGCTCAATTTTTCATTGTCAAATTTCTATTATATAGAACTATATACTGTATATTTCAAAAGATTGAGTGTTATAATGGCGATTGCCCAACAGTTGATACATTACAGGTAAATTCTGATGAGCATATGGGCAATGTGAGATATTTATCGTTCATTCAAAATGGTTTGAAAGGAATTATTTTTTGACTTCACCTGTTCATTTAGTTTACTATATGCTGTTGGAGGGGCATACTGTGGGTGTCAAATCGTCCATAATGGGAGGTAAGAGAAACATTTATCAATGTTGGAGTGTTTTATCTACAGCTGATATGGTTAAAAGTGTAATCTTTACGCTACGAATGTTTTGGAATGGTGCTGATAAACGCTGTTATTTTGGTCATACCTGGGCGGTAGATCTGCATAACAGACCTTCCTGGATGATTTAACAGTAATAAACATTTCTACGCAAGTGACCGACTACTAATATCACATGATTTCTGAATCAGCGAAGCAAATGAGGCAGATGACCACTAGACATAATGTTCGAGACCAAATGTTACGAGGAATATCGGCTTTCAAGAGGATCTAACAGAGATTAAAGTCTGATGTTCCCCCTATTGAAATTTTACCACGGCTTTGCTATTATAGATACTTTTTTATATACCAGTATTTTTCCGAATTGAAAGTTTTTTTTCTAAAGAAAAGAGCTTTAATGTACTCTATTTTAATTCCATTTCTATAAATAAGAGGTATGGTCTTTTATGATAAATAATAAAATAGTTTGCACTATTCGGCCGATAGGTTTTGAGGAACTCGGAAGTTGTACAGAAGTGTAGATGTTTATAATAAATATATAATTGGGAATAAGATAAAAAGTTTATTTAATTGAATATTTATTTGCCGGAGGCTTTCTTGTATATCACTTCTAACCAAGCGTCGCATTTGTCTTAATTAGGTTATATTTCATTGTCACTTTGTTTTGTTGAAGTCACACACACACGCACACACGCACGCACGCAATTTGAAGGTCATATGGCAACTTTTAAGGTTAACTGATAGAGGAAGCCTAATGTGCTACTTTGTGAATTACTGCAGGTAACTAGAGGCAAGGCAAAATTTCATGCAAGACTTTTCATATTTTTTTCTTTTTTAAACATGCTTGCACCCTTTTTAAACTTCCTAGTTATACATTATGCGGTGACTCTTGTTGTTATTGAATATTGACTTGCCATTCAATGGGACTCAATGCTAACGTTATTTAAAATAGTTTGTTACTTGTTTATCATCATTAGGGTGTGAAACTTATAGGAATAATATTCAACTTGAAAGATTAATGCTTGAAACATTACCAACAATGATTCAGATATTAGGAATTACAATTTTTCTTTTAGGAAGTAAGTATAGATTTATATGTTAGATTTATAAGTTTTCATCAATTTTGGGATATATTTTATCTAGAAAATTTATTCATTTGATTATCAAAATTTAGCCTATAATAAATTATTTATTTGCAGATTGACCATGTGCAAAAATAGTTATCAGTTAAAATAGATATATCACTAATTAAAAAAAACTGTTTTATAAATTAATTTTTAGCTCGACTATTCGCAGAATAATCGAGCTAATGCAGTCACCCTTTGTCGGCGTCGGCGTCCCTGTGGTTAAGTTTTTGCGTGTAAGCTGGTATCTCCATAACTACTAAACGGAATGGATCGAAACTTTCCACACTTGTTCTCTGTTATTATTTAACGTGATTGGCACAAGTCCCATAACTCTGATTTGCTTTTTTTGCATAATTATGCCCCGTTTTCGACTTAGATTTTTTTGGTTAAGTTTTTGCGTGTAAGCTGGTATCTCCATAACTACTGAAAGGAATGGATTGAAACTTCACACACTTGTTCTCTGTGATTATTTAACATGATCGACACAATTACTAGTTTTTTTTTGGTTATGTTTTTGCGTGTAAGCTGGTATCTCCGTAACTACTGAAAGGAATGGATTGAAACTTCACACACTTGTTCTCTGTGATTATTTAACATGATCGACACAATTACTATAACTCTGATTTGCTTTATTGCATAATAATGCCCCTTTGTCGTCTTAGAAATTCTTGGTTAAGTTTTTTCGTGTAAGCTGGTATTTCTATAATTACTGAAAGGAATGGATTGAAACTTAACACATTTGTTCTATGTGAATATCTAACATGAGTGACACAAGTCCCATAACTCTGATTTGCATTTTTTCCATAATTATGCCCCTTTTTCGTCTTAGAAATTCTTGGTTAAGTTTTTTGCGTGTAAGCTGGTATCTCCAAAACTACTGAAGGGAATGGATTGAAACTTCACACACTTGTCCCCTGTAATTATCTAGCATGATTGACACAAGTCTCATAACTCTGATTTGCTTTTTGCATAATTATCTCCCTTTTTCGACTAAGAAATTCTTGGTTAAGTTTTTGCGTATAAGCTGGTATCTCCATAACTTTTGAAGGGAATGGATTGAAACTTCACACACTTGTCCCCTGTTATTATCTAACATGATTGACACAAGTCTCATAACTCTGATTTGCTTTTTGCATAATTATGCCACTTTTTCGACTTAGAAATTCTTAGTTAAGTTTTTGCGTATAAGCTGGTATCTCCATAACTACTGAAGGAAATTGATTGAAACTTCACACACTTGTTCTCTGGAATTATCTTACATGTTGTTTTCTTTTGCATAATTATGCCCCTTTTGTGGCTTAGAAATTCTAGGTAAAGTTTTTGCTTGTAAGCTGGTATCTCCATAACTACTGAAGGGTTAGTGACTTTTTTGGAACAATCTTATGCATTCACAATAATAAAGCAGTGATTAACTCGATAAAACATCTTAATAACAAGACTTTATACCTTTTTTGGACAATTTTATGTATTCATATAGGTAAGCATTATTATTCTCAATGAAACACCCTTCTTACAACTTTTCGAAAAGTCGAGGGTTACTGTCCTCCGACAGTTCTTATTATAATTTTTGTTCGTAAATCATATATATTTGTAAAGGTAGACATTGTGTAAGATACATATTTTTTGACAAATGCCCTGAATAATTTACATAAATTAAATTTATATACAATATTAAAGTCTCAATCTGCATGATAACGAAACTTATAAGACTTTTAAGGTATGATGCAAACCATTTTACGAAGAAAAATAATGAATGACCGCCCTGGACTTATCTATAACTTTTTATGTTACCAGTAAATAAACTGTTTTCCAATCTCCTTTAATTTATACATTTTATGTAAATGAAAGAAATACACGATTTAAACATTATATACACTTGACGCTAGCAGTCAGCATCCACTCCTTGTATGATTAATTTATTAATTTTGTATATCATGAACTACCGTGTTACCTTCACCCTATTACTGCTATATTATAATGAACATGCCCTGGTTCAAATTTTGAACTGAATGAACTTTCTATTGTCATTTTGAGATATTTTAGTATTCTTTATAATTTGCAAGTCATAACGTGAATATGCAGTTCAATTTTGAAACTCAAATTTTCAACACAAATATCCCTGTCAGTTTTCGACACTGCAATTTGAAGTAATTAAGAGTTAGCAAGTAAGGAAGTAAGAAAGGCTAAGTAAGTAAGACTAAGTAAGTAAGGTTAAGTAAGTAAGGCTAAGTAAGGCTTAGTAAGTAAGTAAGTAAGGCTAAGTAAGGCTTAGTAAGTAAGTAAGTAAGTAAGTAAGTAAGTAAGTAAGTAAGTAAGTAAGTAAGTAAGTAAGTAAGTAAGTAAGTAAGTAAGTAAGTAAGTAAGTAAGTAAGTAAGTAAGTAAGTAAGTAAGTAAGTAAGTAAGTAAGTAAGTAAGTAAGTAAGTAAGTAAGTAAGTAAGTAAGTAAGTAAGTAAGTAAGTAAGTAAGTAAGTAAGTAAGTAAGTAAGTAAGTAAGTAAGTAAGTAAGTAAGTAAGTAAGTAAGTAAGTAAGTAAGTAAGTAAGTAAGTAAGTAAGTAAGTAAGTAAGTAAGTAAGTAAGTAAGTTAAGTAAGTAAGTAAGTAAGTAAGTAAGTAAGTAAGTAAGTAAGTAAGTAAGTAAGTAAGTAAGTAAGTAAGTAAGTAAGTAAGTAAGTAAGTAAGTAAGTAAGTAAGTAAGAGTAAGTAAGTAAGTAAGTAAGTAAGTAAGTAAGTAAGTAAGTAAGTAAGTAAGTAAGTAAGTAAGTAAGTAAGTAAGTAAGTAAGTAAGTAAGTAAGTAAGTAAGTAAGTAAGTAAGTAAGTAAGTAAGTAAGTAAGTAAGTAAGTAAGTAAGTAAGTAAGTAAGTAAGTAAGTAAGTAAGTAAGTAAGTAAGTAAGTAAGTAAGTAAGTAAGTAAGTAAGTAAGTAAGTAAGTAAGTAAGTAAGTAAGTAAGTAAGTAAGTAAGTAAGTAAGTAAGTAAGTAAGTAAGTAAGTAAGTAAGTAAGTAAGTAAGTAAGTAAGTAAGTAAGTAAGTAAGTAAGTAAGTAAGTAAGTAAGTAAGTAAGTAAGTAAGTAAGTAAGGCTTAGTAAGTAATAGTAGGTAAGTAAGGCTTAGTAAGTAAATAAATAAGTAAGTAAGTAAGTATTTTATTATCATGACATGTGCATATTACAATACATATCTACATATATACATATAGCAGCCTGTCCCATGGGCCTAAAAGTCACCAGAAATCATATGCATTGTAATAATGATACTAATCATTATGTATTTACTCATATATTATTGTTTCTTTACAAATATCAATTTACTGATAGACTTAAAAAGAGCGGTTAGTAAAATAAGACTTATAATGCGTCTTGGTGAGTATGTTTCGCTTTTCTTTTCTTTTGATTATGATATTATGGTGGCATATTTCTGCCACCAGATAACCTGATACCTAACTAGTTAATTAAGAGGTTAACTAGTTACGTAACTAGTTAACCTGATACCTAACTAGTTAATTAAGAGGTTAACTAGTTACGTAACTAGTTAACCTGATACCTAACTATTTAATTAAGAGGTTAACTAGTTACGTAAGATAACTAACTAGTTAATTAAGAGGTTAACTAGTTACGTAACTAGTTAACCTGATACCTAACTAGTTAATTAAGAGGTTAACTAGTTACGTAACTAGTTAACCTGATACCTAACTAGTTAATTAATAGGTTAACTAGTTACGTAACTAGTTAACCTCTTAATTAACTAGTTAGTTATATGGTTATCTGGTGGCAGAAATATGCCACCATAACATTTATAGCTATCCCAGAACTTTAAAATAAACATCGTAAAGAAGCGAAATCGAAAGCAGAAAGAAAAAGAATAAAATAAAAGTTTTACAGGTTACTCAATTTTAAAGATTCTAGTTGTTTATATAAAATGGTGTGCCTTTAATTCTTATATTTACGAAATTCAAAATATTAACACGTATAAAATTGGAATGAAAGGATCGATATGCGTAATTTGTTTTGTTATACAAAGGCACATTTTGAAATGTTTGAGTGCAATATGATAACGATTAACGATAGCGTGAAAAGAAAATAAATCTCACAATAATTGTAAATGGAAACTATATATGGTAATTTGCCGTCAAGATATGTATACAATCTTACCATGTCGTACAAAAATAAAGTTCGTCTTTCATATTTAAATAGTACTGGTTCAATTGTAATACATAATAGAACGTCTGTGGAGAATAGCACTTACTATAAATTAAGCACATTTATCTAGTTGATTCACTTATTTAATGTTTTAATTTCCAATTTATATGTTCTTATCTATCTTTGGCCGGGTTGTACATGTGCAAACCCGGGTTTTAGTATGGTGAATATCGGAGGGGGCAAGCGGGCGGCCGGGGAAAAATTTTCGTAACAGTTTTCTTAGCAACTTCTTATCACAGCTTCTTGATGTTTGGTACACAGCATAAAACATGATCTCATACTGTGGGATTTGATTTCGGGTCTTGTCGCTCATCCATTTCCTTTTCACGGACTTAGTTAAATTTTCGTCATTAATGGTCAATTGAAAAACATTTCGTAACATTTTTCTCAGCAACTTCTTATCAGAGCTTCTTGATATTTGGTACACAACATTAAAACATGGTCCCACACTATGGTATTTTATTTCAAGTTTGTCGCCGAGCCACATCCTTTTCACGGTCTTGAATTTTCGACATTAACGGTCAATGGAAGGAAATTTTCGTAACAGTTTTCTCAGCAACTTCTTATCACAGCTTCTTGATATATGGTACACAGCATTAAAACATGGTCTCATACTGTGGGATTTGATTTCAAGTCTGTCGCTCATCTACTTCCTGTTTACCGACTTAGTTACATTTTCGACATTAATGGTCAATGAAAGGAAATTTTCGTAATAGTTTTCTCAGCAACTACATATCACAGCCTCTTGATATTTGGTATATAGCATTAACACGTGGTCCCATACTGTGGGATTCGATTTCACGCCCTTCTGTTTACCAACTGAGTGAAATTTTGACATTAATGGTCAATGGTAGGAAACTTTCGTAATAGTTTTCTCAACAACTAATTATCACAGCCTCTTGATATTTTGCATACATCATTAACTATTTGTCCCATATTATGATATATGATTTCAGGTCTGTTGCTCATTCACTTCCCGTTGTGTGGCTTAGTTAAACTTTCAACATTAAGGGGCAGTGGTTAAAAGTTTTCGTTACATCACAGCCTCGTCATATTTGGTATACAAATGCAACCCGGCCTTTCTGTGTTTGACCCATTTTTTCACCTCTATTTGTATGAAATGTTATCATTTTCCGTTAATACAATAATATATTTGAATAAAACATTTTCAGACACAATTAGAGCAGCAAATATTACATGCAGCAGTTTTTGTGAACGAGGTGCAAGTAATAGAACGGAGACATGTAACACTAATACTGGTGAATGTATATATGGCTGTATTGTGGGCTTTGCTGGTCCAAATTGTTCTTATGAATGCCCAGATACATGTATATATCCAGCAGAAAATGAAACAGGAACATGTAACCATATATCTGGCGAATGTTTACATGGTTGTAAAGATGGATTTTATGGTTCAAACTGCACACAAAGATGTTATGACATAGACCCAATCTGTGAACGATGCATCGAAAAGAATGAAAACGAGTAAGTAAACAGTTTTTATAGAAATAGATTTTCTATAGAATCAATATTTTATTCTGAATATAACTAACTTTGAAGCTTGTTTTAAAAGGGTTTGGTTCATTTACCTTAAAAAAGTGCCCTTAAATTTTGAAAAAAAAAATAAAAAAAATAAATAGGCTTAACTAAATGAAATGTGTTTGTTTATACACGTATGCAGATCCATCCTAGACCTATGCAAATATGTAGCCCATGATGATTATTGATGAACATTTCATACACACGCGCGCGCGCACACACGCGCGCGCGCACACACACGCGCACACACACAAAACAACAAAAACAACAACAACTTTTAAGGCCTCAACAGACGGTAGGATTTTGAAGTACAACACCAATTAAAACTAAGATGTACAGGCAAATCTTAATGTGTGAAGGCTACTATTTCTTGAATTCGGAAACCTCCCACAGTGACAAGTAATAGATTACCAAATTATCTCCTGATAATGGGTATAATGAATGAAATTCCAGAACAATTACGGCTAAAAGGTAAACATAGTAGTAAGATGGGGTAAACATGATGTTGAAAAAACTCTTCAGGAGACCCAAAGTATGTTCGAATCCCAAATTGCTCCGAAAATGATTATGTCACGGTATTGAACTGTTCTCTAATTAGGGAAGGGGAGGTAGTTTGTAGGCGGCCGGATAGCTTAGTCAGTAGAGCCGCAGTACGGTATTCCGAGGGTCCCTGGTTTGAGTCTCGGCCAGGTTTAGCATTAATTTTTTTTTAATGTAGGTGTTTCAATCATCATGGCGAAAAAAGTATTTAGTGAGTAAAGTATGTAAAGGATCAGTTGGGAGGGAAACATCAGATGATTCCTACAGTGTCGAATTACTGTCTGAATGCAAGTGTTGTATTGCTTTGAAAATTGTACCTCTTACCTCTAATTAGTGTTTTACAGCTAAATCCTACCGTCTGTTGAGGTCTTTAGACATCCTGGTTTGGGAAAATCTGTGATGTTTGCGATTATTTTTTGCACATTTTGTAAAAAATGTATGTGTCACAGCATGTGCCAAATTTTGCCAAAATAGAACCAAGTCCTTTCATGAAAGAAAAATATTACTTTTAACAAACTTTCACTTATTTTACATAATTCCGTCCATCATTTACCATCAAAATGTTTGCAGCATATTACAAAAATACCTACACATATCTAAACAATTAATGTCAAATATGTGCATTTTATTTCAATTGAAAACTTTGCGGATGATTTTTAAACAACTAGTTTTAAATAGTTTTCAAGATAATGATGGGAAAAAACATTCTAGTATTCCAATAGATCTAATAGATCTTCATAAACATAAACGGGTGAATTACGATTTTTCGGCAAAATGAAATTCGATGTTAAAGTATCAAATAACCCTGTTAATGTGAATTTACTGTGTTTATTTTATATATTTATAAAACCTCAAACATGTATATATCCTGTACTTGCTCGACTAGATACATATCATTACACAGCTTTAGATTTTAATTTTTTAATTATAGAAAGATATAAGTAGATTAGTAAGAAAAAACAAATTATCATTTGTCTTTTGCAGCGGAATTGAATGCAAGAAATGTAACAGAAATTTCTATATGTCAGCTGGTAAATGTTTATCGTGTAACTACTGGTGTTTGGTTGTACCCACTAGTGCTGAGCCGATCTGTAGGCCAGAGGACGGATATTGCAATCATGGTTGTAGAACAGGCCGTTATGGTTTCATGTGTGGGGAACGCTGCAGTTCCACGTGTAAAGATGAGTGTAACAGAGAAACTGGTAATTCTTGTGTTTTTATTATATAATAACACTTGCCGCAAATTGTTTTATCACGAGGATTAAAAGTGATGTTTAAAAAAATATTTTTGATTTCAAAATTTAACTAGTTATTACTATTACTATTATGGTTTGATATGTGGGAAACGCTGCACTGCCACGTGCCAAGATGTATGCGAAAGGGATACTGGTACATTATATATATATTCAATAATAATTGGAAGCCTCATATAGGTTGATAATTTTCAAAAATATTTTGTACAGCGATATCACGATATATGTTCGTTCGAATATAAGCAGAGAAAAATATTATTTATTCGGAATGTCTGAAACAGATACACACATGAATGTATGCTTACCTTGAGAGGAATTGAATTTGTGTACAATAAGATACCAAAAGAAAATTTATTTTATTTTTGCACATTGTTAGACACATTAATTATATCTTCAATGTTATGTTTCGGCCATTGTTTTCTTGTTAAGTGTACATATCTTCGTTTACGTTGTGGCCATGTGTCACATGAAATTGCACGGAAGTGCCACTTTGAAAAATGCATGATCAACGCGGTTGTATGAACAAATCTGCAAATGTTTCTAACCTTTTAAATAAATACCGTGTTTAAATGATGAGTTCTGTTGCAGCAGGTGCTAGAGGATTTAGCATTGAATTTTATAAACAATTGCTCCATCAAAGTTAGCATGATACATTTAAAATTTTGACAATGCAGATTTCCATATTTTCTGTTTTTTGATTGCTATTGTTTATTTTCTCCTACATATATGTTCAGGAGCTTTATTAACAACTTTTTTAAATAATTATTTCGCCTACCGCTATTAAACACTTTAAATATATCATCTTAGTTTCAAAAGTATGCCTTTCAATAGATCCTTTCTACTTCAAAGAGTTTTCATCAATGTTTTTGTTCATTAGAAAAAGACGATAAATGAATTAATATTGAACTTATACAACATGCACTAAAATACAATCAGGTCAACAGAGATGTGAAACGAAATATGCATTTCTGTATTTATTCACTACAGTACGCATTTATTAGTTTTGTGTTTTGCCGTTTCAATTTGGTGATTAAAATATGTGTACAATATTTACTGTTTAAGGGACATGTTTTGACTGTAAATATCAGAGCTGTTGTGGTCCAACTTGTGAAATACAGTGTCAAGATGGTTGCTTACTTCAACAATGTAACCAATCCTGTCACTGTGTAAATGGATGTACCACCACACATTGGGGAGAAAGATGTCTGACTGTATGCAACTATAACTGCATTAAACCAGCTGACCCTTCAAAAAGAGTTTGTAATACTTCGGATGGGACATGTCTATTAGGTTGTGAGGGTGAACTTTTCTGGGGAAATCAGTGTAATAAAGTATGCCCTAGTTACTGTGTGAATGATACGTGTGAGCAAATCAGTGGAAATTGTACAGAAGGTTGTTCAAGTGAGGCAGTCTACGGTTGGCGTTGTGATACGCCATGTAATAAAAACTGCCTTGGTGGCACTTGCGAAAGACCAGATGGATATTGTGATAAAGGATGTAATGTTGGTACTTACGGAATAGAATGTAACTTAAGTTGCAGTGAGAACTGCAAAAATAATACATGTAATAGACAAAGTGGGCACTGTGATAACGGCTGTAAAGATGGAAATTACGGTAACCAATGTGAAAACACCTGCAGTACAACGTGTTTAAACCAAAGATGTGACATTGTTGACGGCAGTTGCACAGATGGATGTATCTCTGGCTTTGAGGGACATAATTATGGAACAGGTAAAACTTTTGCATTTTATTTAATGGTTGATTTTGTGTATCAATTTGTAGGCTCTTTTAACAATTCCTTTTATTTGAAACCTGGTTATTGTTTACAACATAACATGCACTGAAAACATAAGCTGCTTTTGTTAGGTTTGCAATTCACATGCAGTTTCAAAAATATCACACTTATTACTTTTGGATATACATGTTTCATATCTATATATTAAAATGTGTCTTGCAAAGTCTGTATTGCTTTCTACTCATTGTCACCTTACATGTATATGAACGTTTGGTGTAAAGACACATCTTTATAGTGATATGAGCGCCAAAAATAAATACACACACGAATCAAAACATGTCTTCATTATGTAAATAAATTGAAATATTTGTAATATCTTATTCAATGGAGTCTTTACAATTATCATATTTACCTAATGATAAACCATCACGATAATATTTATTTTAGAAACAAAATCAGTTGACAACACTTTACTTGGGCTTACTATCAGTGGATGGTCCTTGTTGGTGATACTTTTGGCATTTAATATAACTAAAGCTTTAACAAAAAGATGTAAAAAGTCTAAAGGTAATAATAGTTTACTTTAAATCGGGTTCTTAAAATTATATTCAATTTATTGCTTGTGTTCCACTAGTCCATTATAACCAGATACAGACAAAATTATGGTAAAGGTTGTACTTGATGCTTCAATATAGAAAATATTAAATGAATTTAGATTCAATCCTGAATTAACAGAACGAGTCGAATAAAATTTTATTATACGAGGCTTATCAATAAACCAATGTTTTCGTTTCAAGAGTCCAATACCATAGCCAATCTGACAAATGTATACCCGTGCATATCATACTCCATTTAGACCTCTATTGTACTCTTAGTAACAATGTTCAATTGTCAAAAATCAGCGGCAGGTAATAAAGCGATCATTAGACTTTTTTTAGTCCGTTTGATTGTTTAACTGGGGTTTACGCCAAACAGAAAAAATAAACGTCATATGCCGACTTTCTGGCTTTAGTGTGGCGGAAGACCTCAGGTAGGTCACAACCACCCTTCCATGCATTATTTCAGGCGCGAACGGGCACCTGAGTACAACCATCGACGTTTCAAAAGTTACCTCACATTTAAGAATCCAAAGTTCTTGTCGAGATTCGAACCCACGGCGGTGAGGGGCAAGAGGTTTGAAGTAAACGACCTTAACTATTCAGCCATGGACGCCCCTAATTGTTGATAGAAATACTTTATTGTATTGGACTCGTACACAGATGTTAAACTAAATCAGACTCTGTTAGCACCTGGTCAATTAGAGATTTTTCAGCTTTGTATTCGTCCAAGAAAATTATTGTATTGTATTCAAAAAATAATATCATATTTAAATTGCTTTTTTACATCATAGATATCACCCAGAATGACATAGTATATTTTATTACATGTCTGATTAAATTTATTGCAAAACTAACTTCCAGATAATAAATGAAAAATTAATATAAATTTTGGTTTTTACGTGAAACAGGAAACAAGATCAATGCAAAGGAGGACACACAACCCCAGATTAGGTAAACTATAGTCTAAACATGGATTAGATTTATAATATCATTGATTTTGTAATATCATTGTTTTGTGATAAACTTTTGAATTCTTTGTTGTTTCATATTTGTCTGAATTTTTAGCTTCATATTTTGTTCTTTTTACTTTAAACTTAACTTTAAGTTAACTATATGTTCGGAATTTATATATTCTAGATACATAGTAAGAAAACGTAGATACATAGTAAGAATACGTTACATGTTATTTTGATTTTAATGAAATCAATATGACTGACTCGTTTTTTGTGTAATGTGAGAGAAAAAAAACAACAAATTCGTCATTGACTTACTTATTTGATATATAGAAAATATTAAAACCACATGACACTAAAGGACACACGTTTAAATTGCATCATTGAGATCGTCATATATACACAAAAACAGACATGAATAAAAAAAATAAGTTAGGGGTATTATCTCTTATCAACAGAAATCAGCAAGTCTACACAACATTACAGCATGGACAAGATGAGAATCATGATACAACAAAGTATGAGGTGTTACGGTTTAGAGAAGGTACAAGTTATCAATACGTTTATCTCTTACCAAACAAATACATGTATCTTATAAACCATTAAAGGTTTTCTAACTTTCTTTGTAAATATGATACTTAGAAATGTTTATGATATTATAATATCATAGGCATGTATCCCCTAAGGGCCAAAAACTGAGCAGGTTTGTGCATAATAATTTCAATTATTTTTCTAGCTTATTTTATACTTTTGTGAAAAACTACAATGTGTACCGTGCAAAAACTTGCACTGTACCCGCGTGCAGAAATAGTTTATCTACTCATATTATACGTGCATTTAATAAACGAAATGTTGTTTTGTCATAATCATAATTCCTTGTCAAAATGTGTTCTTTTATTTGTAGAGAATACTACAGAACAGACTATGTACGAAAACAGCGGTGTGTGATCATCGTTAAAAAGACTATTGAGACAACACACTGACTAAAAGAAACTTGTTCTACAATAATTGTTTCTAACTTCTTAAATGTGTTTTGATTTTTCCTTGTATTCATTTTGCATTCATATGTCTTGAAAAGTAATCAAATAAACTCATGTGTGGGATTACGTGATATTTATACTATTATATTATATATTTATGCACTAACCGTATTGGAAATTCGAACAGCAGTGACACTAAATTTAAGTGTCAAATGTCCACTGATGTCTAAAAACCTAAAAACATAAAGTTTGAATTTCTTACATAAATCAGCTGGGGCACTTAAAACAGACATATATGCTAAGATAGTAAAGAAATGTACTTAGAAATAAATTGAATGTTGTATGTTTATGTTTTTCTTAGACCGATTTGCATGAAAAGCTTTGCAACGCTTTTCAGTTTGGGGGTAATTTAAGAAAACCAGACTGTTTTTATGAAAGAATAAATTTTACTTGCTAAGTTATAGAGCAGGCAGCTTCCCTGTCATAGTTTATTCATTCGTTTATTCAAATTAGACATGTTCAGTAAGTTTCAGAGGTTTCTATTAAAAAAAAATCGGTGATTAGAAAATTTTACTTAAGAATAAGCATAGTTTATCTTTAATAAATTGATGAATTTGAGTGATAAGCAGTCAGGTTGCATGTTTCTATATTGATAAACCTTGTCTTATTTGTAATTTGAGCCATTATTTTAAAGATTAAAAAAATAGATACAATAGATTTATAAACTGTATTTATATTAAGGCTATCACTTTTTCCAATTTATTATATATTTTTTTAAAACTAATGTTTAACAATCATTGACAGAAGTCAGATGTTAAACATTTATTGTAAACAAACTCTTGCAAATATAACGAATGAATGTCTGTACAGAAATAAAGACCTTCCCTAACTGGAGATGCACGTGAACATTTCTTCGAGAAACTTCTTAAAGTAGCACGCCTCCAGATTAATGCTTATTTTCATGAAAATTTTGAAAATGTAATTAAAAGATTAATATTGTATATTAACCAAAAGGAAGCAATTTACACATTTATCAGTGGCACTTACAATCCACGTTAATTACAAAAAGAGGTCAAAATATGCAAATTTAGTGTTACGCCATTGAGACACGGACGTCAGTCGATCACAATTGCATGGTAGCTCGAGCCTTGGATTCCGAACTTGGGTAATAATGGACAATATCTGTTATGGGTAGCTATCTTGATCAGCTTCCAGCTGTTGGTTTCCTTTTAAAACCCTAATTCTTGTGATAATTCATGTGATGCAATCGAAAAACTAACACTTGTGATAAAACTTAAAACTTCAATTTATTCATTTAATAAACACATATATCGTTTCTCTTTCAACAGTCAATCGCAAATATATTTTATACAAGAACAATCTATGTGAACAATACATCACTATTATTCCATTTACAAAACAGTCACTTTCTCTCTGAGACTTGATTACATTCAACAAAGTCACTAATTCAGAAATATAAGGCAGATAAACTTAAATAACCTTTCAGTACTGTCAGTAAGCCTTGTATAACTGCTACTTTTAAACAATAAAATTATAAGCTTAAAATTACTTAAAATATTACTTATCAAAATGTTAATTCTAAGTAAAGACTTGCAGAAAATATTCACCAAAATAAGTTAAAGTACCTTAAAGATTGTAGTTTCTTAGATAAAACCAAATATACGGTATTTAGCAAGTTGTTTGCGTGTGTGTCCTCGAAAATGAGCTCACAGCAGTTTATATACTACTCAAACCTCACACAAAAAATGTGGAAGTTCACATTTCACAACTTGTGAAGTTTGCCAACTTCACATAAAATCATGTGAACCCAGCTTCACATAAAATAATGTGGAACTGTGAAGCTCACAGTCACTGGAAACAAATCAGAATTTTAATATTAAAATTACCAATATATCAATAATTATTAGTCTTATTTAATAAAAATATAATTAATACAAAAGATTAAAACCTCAAATTTCCTTTTAAGGGGGTTAACAGTTTTAAATTGTTGATGAAAGTAGCTTGACATCTCTGCATTGACAAGTAAACAATAAAAGCAAGCTGCAGTTGCTAAGCAACTACCCACAATGCAATGCAACAGGATGTATACAAACATGGCTGCTTAAACCAGGAAGTAAATTATATTATTCTGCATTTATAGGTACAACATGCACACAATAAACTGATTTAAGTTAAATACCTAGCAATTATAAAGCCCTGGATATAAACTTGTGATCCACCAAGATATAAACACATTAGACAAGAAATAAAAATACAATAAAGCCTTAAAGTTAGGTTCTATCTAGCTCTATTAAAGTTACTATGGACCAGGGTATTACATTACCCCCCTCTTATAATGTCAAAGTTCCATCTGACATAAAATATTTCAAAAATAATTCACCTGTCACTATTATTACATCTAACTTACTATAGTTATGATAAAGCATGTGTAGAACCACCTTAAACACGAAAATGCATGAGCATCTTAAAATATTTAAAAATTGAACAACATGAATCGATTTCGAAAAACCCTAATTTCTCAAAATAAGTTTTGCTTAAACACATTCCGATAATTCAACAATAGCACAAAATTCATAAATAATATAACTTTTCAACTGTTCATTTCACTAATTCATGATAAACTTAAATTAAAATATCAGTGTCTGTATCACATCATAAATACTCAAAATGAACTTTGCACAACAGTCTCTTTTTATCTTTAGATATCTTATCAAATTCTGAATAATATATATTTCCAGTCCCTTGATAAATCACGTATTACACTGTCATTCACACGGTTCACTTAACTATCACAACGCGTATCTCATTTTTAAACGTTCATCACAATAATTTCAACTTCTGTATGAATAAAGATTAATTTCTTAATGTTCATATGTTCATCTTCTTGATGTATTACGCGATATGTATTAAATGTTTAAGTATTTTCACTTTATTCATTTCACTTTAAATCATTTAAAGAGTTCTAATTAATTTTCAAATGAGGTTAATCGATTTATGTTTTAAAATATTCAAAATTGTCTCAGTTCCTGTTCTTTGGTCTTTTGTTAATAATGAATCAGTTGTTGTAATGTCAAGTTTATTTCTTCTTTACTATTGATTTCAGCACTTTTTTGTTTGGGCTGTCTAAATTTTCCTTGCCCCTGTTATACGAATCTTTCTTTTTGAGTCCATCGGCAATGCATGACACTGATTTCTCCAATTTAGACAGTGCATCAACTACTTGGGAGATAGTTCTGTCCTGATTCCTGACTGCTCTGCTGTTCCAATCTATTGCAGCCGTAATTTTTCCAAGGGCTGCTAATAATGCTGTCCTGTTTTCTGGATCCTCGTCTCTACGTGGCCTCTTTGGCTCTGGCTCTTGCACAGGTTCAGTCTGTACAGAATTTGTACTTGTGTTAATGGTTGTGACTTGGTTCTGCTTACCAACCTGGTCAGGTTCTAATGCGGAAAAAGCAGGAGAGTAAGTAAGTAAGTAAGTAAGTAAGTAAGTAAGTAAGTAAGTAAGTAAGTAAGTAAGTAAGTAAGTAAGTAAGTAAGTAAGTAAGTAAGTAAGTAAGTAAGTAAGTAAGTAAGTAAGTAAGTAAGTAAGTAAGTAAGTAAGTAAGTAAGTAAGTAAGTAAGTAAGTAAGTAAGTAAGTAAGTAAGTAAGTAAGTAAGTAAGTAAGTAAGTAAGTAAGTAAGTAAGTAAGTAAGTAAGTAAGTAAGTAAGTAAGTAAGTAAGTAAGTAAGTAAGTAAGTAAGTAAGTAAGTAAGTAAGTAAGTAAGTAAGTAAGTAAGTAAGTAAGTAAGTAAGTAAGTAAGTAAGTAAGTAAGTAAGTAAGTAAGTAAGTAAGTAAGTAAGTAAGTAAGTAAGTAAGTAAGTAAGTAAGTAAGTAAGTAAGTAAGTAAGTAAGTAAGTAAGTAAGTAAGTAAGTAAGTAAGTAAGTAAGTAAGTAAGTAAGTAAGTAAGTAAGTAAGTAAGTAAGTAAGTAAGTAAGTAAGTAAGTAAGTAAGTAAGTAAGTAAGTAAGTAAGTAAAGTAAGTAAGTAAGTAAGTAAGTAAGTAAGTAAGTAAGTAATAAGTAAGTAAGTAAGTAAGTAAGTAAGTAAGTAAGTAAGTAAGTAAGTAAGTAAGTAAGTAAGTAAGTAAGTAAGTAAGTAAGTAAGTAAGTAAGTAAGTAAGTAAGTAAGTAAGTAAGTAAGTAAGTAAGTAAGTAAGTAAGTAAGTAAGTAAGTAAGTAAGTAAGTAAGTAAGTAAGTAAGTAAGTAAGTAAGTAAGTAAGTAAGTAAGTAAGTAAGTAAGTAAGTAAGTAAGTAAGTAAGTAAGTAAGTAAGTAAAGTAAGTAAGTAAGTAAGTAAGTAAGTAAGTAAGTAAGTAAGTAAGTAAGTAAGTAAGTAAGTAAGTAAGTAAGTAAGTAAGTAAGTAAGTAAGTAAGTAAGTAAGTAAGTAAGTAAGTAAGTAAGTAAGTAAGTAAGTAAGTAAGTAAGTAAGTAAGTAAGTAAGTAATAAGTAAGTAAGTAAGTAAGTAAGTAAGTAAGTAAGTAAGTAAGTAAGTAAGTAAGTAAGTAAGTAAGTAAGTAAGTAAGTAAGTAAGTAAGTAAGTAAGTAAGTAAGTAAGTAAGTAAGTAAGTAAGTAAGTAAGTAAGTAAGTAAGTAAGTAAGTAAGTAAGTAAGTAAGTAAAGTAAGTAAGTAAGTAAGTAAGTAAGTAAGTAAGTAAGTAAGTAAGTAAGTAAGTAAGGCTTAGTAAGTAATAGTAGGTAAGTAAGGCTTAGTAAGTAAATAAATAAGTAAGTAAGTAAGTATTTTATTATCATGACATGTGCATATTACAATACATATCTACAATATATACATATAGCAGCCTGTCCCATGGGCCTAAAAGTCACCAGAAATCATATGCATTGTAATAATGATACTAATCATTATGTATTTACTCATATATTATTGTTTCTTTACAAATATCAATTTACTGATAGACTTAAAAAGAGCGGTTAGTAAAATAAGACTTATAATGCGTCTTGGTGAGTATGTTTCGCTTTTCTTTTCTTTTGATTATGATATTACATTTATAGCTATCCCAGAACATCGTAAAGAAGCGAAATGGAAAGCAGAAAGAAAAAGAATAAAAAAAAAAGTTTAACAGGTTACTCAATTTTAAAGATTCTAGTTGTTTATATAAAATGGTGTGCCTTTGTTCTTATATTACGAAATTCAAAATATTTAACACGTATAAAATGAAAGGATATGCGTTATTTGTTTTGTATAACAAAGGAATACACATTTTTTAAATGTTTGAGTGCAATATGATAACGATTAACGATAGCGTGAAAAGAAAATAAATC